TCGAGTTTACTGGCGCTTCGAGAGACGAGAACAATATTTGCGCCCTTCGCAGACAATTGAGTGGCTGCGCTGAGGCCCATGCCTTCGGATGCACCGGTGATGAGGACTGTCTACAGGCATTGTTAGCCGTGCTGTAGGTCGAAAGGGACCGATCATGAGACGTATCATGATGGGACATACTTTGCCCTCGACGGGAAATTTGTTGCCGCCAAAGAAACCCATGATGAACCAACCGACAAGAAGAGTCACGACAGAGACAGCGATGTAAGTAACGAGTGTCGTTGGGGAGAGATCCATGGCGAGAGAGGGACAGGAGTGTAGATAAACTTGTAGTTAGCGAGGGGCAGAGAGCAGGGAGTTTTTAAGCTGTAATACAGCACCCCTGCTAAGTCCGCTAATAATAAGATACAGTGTCGTCTCCGCTTATTTAGGTCCCCGAAAGTGGACGCCACAGGCCGTCGAGCTTCCATTCGATAATGGAATACGGAGTAAGGATACTCCATTTTCCTAACGTTGGGTGGTTTTGACGACCTACACAGGCAGTTCAATTTAATGGATGCAACCCCTGGTTTGCAGGATGGACAACCTGTCCCTAGGGCTGACACATTGGATGATTGCAATCAGATCAATCATTAGCTTTGTTTTTCGCTTTGTGCGATTGGGTTGCTCAGACTGGAAGACGGACGGATGGGATTAATTCAGGGGTTACTGTGAGATAGTGCCCTTGTGATGATTCTTTCATGTACAAGGACGTGACGAGAAACATTTCTATAAATGAGATGCTGTAACAACTTCGTTTCTGCTACGAGACAATCTGATGATAGATTTGCAAGAAATCTATATACTAACTATAAGAATATTAGTTAGAGGAGGGACTTACTGGGGCCGATGATTAATAGTATTAAAACCAACGTCGCACTGTATTTCATTTCGCTGTGGATGAAGGGCGAGGCTGACGCGCTCTCTCACACTCACTCACTCACTCACTTGCGCCTTCAACTTACATGCAAGATAATTGTATTTTGTTTGTTAAACGGATCATCAACCTTCATTTCAGCAACAGTACTCACAAATTCTTCTCCAAACTCACACAGGCTATCATTCACAATAATGAGGATATGACGAAAACTCTGTCGATCTATCAGCACAATGTCCAGCAAGGATGAGGACACCAAGTCTATGGCACCTAAATTTGCATCTTTCAAGCCAAAATCCGAGACTTCCGACTTGAAAGCACCCAAGTTTTCTTCTTTCAAGCCCAAGGACAAGCCCAAGGACAAGGATAGGGATAGGGAGACGCCCATAGGATCTAGCGCTAGGGACAAGGGGCGAGAGCGAGAGCGAGAACGCGAGCGAGATTCCAGGAGGAAACGAAGTCATCACCATTCTGATTCACATCGCGACCATCACAGGTCAAAAAAGCATCGCACAGACTCTCGTGGCCCGCCCCGTGAGAACTCGCGAACTGGCCACTCTGAAGCACTTGAGCAGCGCCGGCTCACCAAAGTTACACGCAGCAGTGACGATGCATCGCGTCTGTACATCATTGACACTAAAGGGGATCCGTTGATCATTCGCTATGGGGGCCTTGACAGGTCCCAGGTCCCTGTTTACTATCGTGATGGATACGGAAAGGTCCTTGGCACACAAGGTCGTCTTATAATTCATCGCGATGGACCAAGAGATCAGTTCAGTCTGCGTATGCCTGGTGAAGGTCCATATGCCTTGAAAGATAGGGATGGCCTACGCTCCAGAAACTGGCGTATAAGACCTACGCCGTTGAGAGTCAGGAAGCAAGAGAACGATGGTCAAAGTGAAGAAGACGAAGACTTTTTGGCACTAAGTTCATCTAAGAAGCGTAAACACTTGCATCAAGCCTCGGATTCTTCAGAAGATGAGGAACAGCCGACTTATCGATCCATAGAGGGAAAGGCGAAACCACGCCAATACGATGACAGCGACTTAGAATCCGAGTCAGATGCAGTTGCAGACGATATCAATCTCGATCCGAATAATCCCCTGAAGTGGAAGTCAATTCAGCTCTCGAGACGTGTCAAAGACCAGCCAGATGATATAGATGCATGGCTCGAGTTGGCAAACCATCAAGATGCTCTCTTGAGAGCAGGGGAGGATATTGATCACAAGGCGCTTGAAGCCGAGGTGCACAGTTTTGCGGAGATCAAGCTGCATATGCTTGAATCAGCCTTGTCTAATGTGGCAAACCACCAGGATCGCATTCGGGTGCTTATTCCTCTCATGCGGGAAGGCATAAGAGTATGGAATAGCAAAGTCGCCGCCAAGAAGTGGCTTGATCTGCGTGAGGACGAGGATAAGAGCTTCACTTTGTGGAAGACGCATCTTGATTTTGCCATGTCTAACATTTCTGCTTTCCATTTTGACACCCTCAAGCAAATGCACCTGGATAGAATACGGCATGTTATATCTCGATCACAAGTGAACATTGAGCTAGAAGACTTGAGAGAAGCCATCTATGTGTTTCTGAGACTTACCAGGTTCCTCCATGACTCTGGTTATAAGGAGCTTGCAGTCGCAGCCTGGCAGGCTTTTCTAGAACTCAACTTCTTCCGGCCCACGCAACTGGATGACCAGAGTACAGCCTTCGAATCACTTCGTGACTTCTGGGAGAGCGAAGTCCCGAGAATAGGAGAAGCGGACGCTCAAGGCTGGGCGAAATTTCTAGCAGATGGGGGAATAGGCGATGCTCCCGAACCACTACAAGAGATTAAAGGGCCCGAATACCAGTCTCGAGATGATTACAAACGATGGGCAACCCTAGAGAGCTCACAAGCTGATCAGGCTCGAATTCCCGCTAGAACCATGGACGAAGGAACAGAAGACGACCCATTTAGAGTGGTGATGTTCTCTGACATCGAGCCACTTCTCTTTTTCGTTCCACAGAGTATCCTGCCTGCTGTGCAGGAGCAAGTGCTGGACGCATTTCTCATATTCCAGGGATCCCCTCCAACATTCTGGTCTGACCACTGGACGAACGAGGCGTACCATGATCAGTTCCTTGCAATATTCACATTACACACGGAGTCGAGTGCTCCCACGCCACTGTCGGGTGACGAGGATCCGACTGAGATCCAGAGGAAGCCCCCTTCTTTCCACCAGAACCCTCTTTGCGTCTCAGAAACGCTCGACGTCCTTTTCCCTCACTCAGAATGGTTCTCCTATCTACCCCTGAGAAATAAAAAGAATGACGTTGAACTTGGATTTATGGCCAACGCAACAAAGCAACTGGTTCAGAATGCCAACTTTGGGGGTTTAGCCACATATCAATTGGCATTGTCTCAAGTTCAAGATGGCTCCAGTGTTAAGAAAGCAGCAAAGGCTTTACTGAAGCGCTATCCGACGGACCTTGTTCTTTACCGAGCATACGCTATTGCTGAGTATGCAAATGAAAATCACGAAGTTGCAGCCAAGGTTCTGTCATCAGCAACTGAGCTCGCGTCAGTGAGTAATCTGTCTTCTCCGATTTTGACTCGTCGCCATGCTAACGAGTTCCTGCAGAACTCACCAACAGCTGATTTGTTTGCTCTTTGGAGAACTTGGTCGTGGATGGAACTTCAGCGGGGTGATAAACAGCTAGCAGTTCGAAGATTATGCTCATCTGTTGACGATGCTCTTCGTAGGTCGGCTGGAACCCCTGAAGTATCATCAACACATATTCTCAAAGCCCACCGAACTTTCTCGTCTTTAACGAGTGACTTTATTTCCAGCGCGAACCTCGAGGATGCCAGTACTATTACCGAGTGCTTAGTCCTGTTGTCGTACTTGACTTCTGAGAGCTGCACAGAACCGATGTCGGCATCACAAGGAAGTATTTCGGCCGCGATAGAGGCAGTACATCGAACGTCTCTCGAGTTCAAGTCTCGAGGCTACCAAGCATCTCGCGCTCATGAGCGCTTATTACAGTTTGCGTCGAGGCTATTATACTTGCACGCAAGCCAAGGGTGAGTCCTAATACTAGGATTGTCAGATATTATTGCTAACAAAGCCAAGACCTTTTCGTCGCGCATATTTGCTTGAGCAGCTGAAAAAGTTCCTGGTATACTTCCCAAAGAACACCATATTCTTATCACTTTTCGAATGGGCCGACTCCAGTCTTCGTGTCATCGACGAAACAAGAGCACTTCTGCATGAAACAGTCTTGACTCCGGCCCAGGATTGCCTGAGCAGTAGAATATTTGCTGTCCATCACGAGATCGAATGGGGAAACGTCAACACAACGAAAGCAGCTTTTGAGCACGCCGTTTCAAGCGACCCCTGCAAGTTTAGCACGTCTTTGTGGATTCATTTTATCAGATTCTGTAGCTCACAGAGAGAGTTACGACCAAAAGCTAAGGATATCTTGTTCAGGGCTTTGAGGCATTGTCCCTGGTCGAAGGATGTCATGATGGAGGCTTTCCTCACTTTGAATAGAGAGATGGATTCTTCGGAACTCAAGGGTATCTTTGAGACCATGACTTCAAAGGGTTTGAGGATTCATGTTGATTTGGAAGAGTTTTTGGATAAAAGGAAAGATGTGAAACGACTAGCGAAGAGCCAGCGAGTCTAGGAGCGAACTATGCTTTCGCTTCAAATTTGAAAGTTACCGTGGAAAGCTCACCACGATTGAGGGTAGAGTAATGAATAGGCCAAGTGGTAACTTGAATCAGTTATAATTTTCACCGGGTTTCCATGTTATTCCATTCTGCAAGTCCAACAATGACGCCAAAAATGACTCAGCGCAAGTTTAGATCGACTTTGTGAATTTATTGAAGAAACTGCTATAAGGACCCTGCATGTTCAGGATTGCTTATGATAAAATAGTTCAAGAACCTACGCTCATCGTAGGAGTTACGCCCTTAACCTCAGAAACCGAATACGCCTTGCACGCTGGAGGCGCCATCGCCAAACTGTCTAGCATGGCACCAGAAATCCCCATCTTAGATAAAAGTAAGACTGTAGGTAGGCCTGGGGAAGAAGAGCACGCACTATAAGCCGCCTTGAATGGAGACGGCCAGAAGGATCGTTCCTAACTGCTTCATGTGCTTGGGATCTTTGACGAAGAACGGGCCATACTCGTTCATCTCGAGAAATGAATCCTTGGTTGCTCTTCGGACGCTGCGAGCACAGATGTACTCGACGTACTCGGCACTGAAACTGGCAATGATGAGGTAGATCTCGCCGTGATCCTGGGAGACCAGGAGGCGTGTGAATCTATTGGACGCGGGCCCAGTCAGGGATGGAGGGTCTTGGGCTATCCAGGCCGCCATCTGGGCTGTTTCTTGCATGCGAATTCCATCGAGGGTCTCTGGAGATGCATTCCGAATGAAAGGCTTGACTTCGATGATAGCACGGGTATTCTTTTGGTTGATTCGCAAGAGCCCGTCCACGCGTGCTTCGTAGACTTTGTCGTTTGCTTTTGTCGCTACAAAAGGCTCGGCTAATCCCCAGTGGCCTCTGAAACGCAGCCCAGCTTAATTACTTCATAACGGCGTCTACACGCTAGCCGAGCGCGTGAACAAGAAGACGATACCGCATCGTGACGAACCTGGCGCTTATTCAGAGAGCAAGAAGGTCTTGATAAGAGCATCAAGATGCCGCCACAGAGTAGACCCCCAGGATCTCTCAGTCAAAGGCGACCAGAAAACACCCAGAAGGCTGAAGCAGCAGAGATGAATCGACACAGAACCGATCAAAGACGGGCGAATCTCGAGAAGATTGCCCGTTATATTATCCATCCACTTAGCCAGTCCCCATACAAACATGTAGGCATGGATTTCCTCAACCGATGCCGCATTAAATGTAAAGACATGGACTTCAAAACCGGCTAAGTTGGCAAGTAGACAGAGCAATTCATTTAACCTATCCCACTAAAGGTCGTCCAGCAGTGGCTGGATAAGACCAGGCCACCGCCCAAGGAGCGTTAAGATATCGTCAATAAATACTCCTATAAGTTCGCTAACGATAATCAGTAGGAAGCCACTATGATCTAGAGACGCATTAACGTGTATTTATGCGGGTCTGAAAATGCCCAGGGAAGTTGTATTATAACTACTTATACCCAATAGCATCATGCGAAGTATGGACTATCCTTTATTCTTTTTCTCCGCTATTCTCTTTCTCCTTTTGCCGGTTTTTCTTAAGACTTGACAGTAGAGCTGACAGAAATCATTGGCAGCCCTAGCAATTCCCGCTTTGTTAACCGCCTGGGCGAAGAGAACGCTAACTGGTAACTTAAAGGTGTTCTTTGATAATACCTCCCTAACTAATCTAACTATGATCGTCCTCTTGATCCTAATAGGCCTTACGCTATTTGCTATCTTGCAGATGAAGCAGAGCTAGTTGATGATATGCTCTTAACTAGCGAACTTACTACCTTGCTACTTATGGCGACTGACACAGCCCTTAAGGCTACTTGGCAGAAGCATAAGCTAATCCTGGTATGGGACTACCTCGAATTCTTTTGGCCTTCCGCTGATATGAGTTACTTTGAATAGGTGACCCTTATTACTGGCTCGTACAGGACTGTTTGGGTGTCCTAGTGTGTCCTGAATGCAGAGACGGGGAGTATTGAGATACGTAAATCGCCTCTCGTTACTTTTTATAAAGGTTTGCTGGGCGAGTGGGCTAAATATTTGACTCTACTGGGCTGGGTACTTGGTAAGCCAGCAGGGCAGACAATGTGATTTTGGCGATATATTGTGAGCGTACTTATGTTGTTTCGAGGGCCGTTTTGGATAGGAGTTTGGCGTAAATTAAGACCAAATGTTAGGTTACTTGGAAGATTTTTAAAGAGAACTACCTCATGGCTGGAGGTGCCTGAATGACGAGTCATCCTAAGTTAGATGTCCGAGTTGAGCCTCCTACGTATGTGAAAGTAAAGTTATTCTCAGAGCTATAGCCCCCCATAATAAAGGACCTTTAGTACCTTGACTGCGATTTGCAAGGTGAACCCCAAAGTAAGAAGGTAGTCCAGCTAAGTACTAAAATTAGCACGCACCATTACTACTAAGTACTTACCTATGTCGCTGCCTTGACTGAGAAGTTGTCTTCCTTCATAACAAAAAGATGAGATTTGTGATAATGCCTGAAGAAACATCGAATTTAGGTACGTATGTATGTACCTATGAAATGGACGCACGGCTTTGAGGTACTTACTAACCTAGGTACCTAGGTACTGGGCACCTACCACCTTAGGTACACACCTTGCTCTGCTGTGTTGTCTGGTGGAGTCAGTACGGGGGCCGTTAGGGGTCTTGGAGCCTAGTCTTATAGCGGGTCTACTCCGTAGCGCTGAAGCTGAAGCTGAAGCTGTCGTGAGCTGTCTTGGGCCCAAGCCTGATCGAACATGAGGCCACTGGATGTGAGATTAAAATGAAGGGAAGAAGGAAATGTGGCCTCGATAGACCCTGTGATAGCTGGTTAAAGAAAAGAAGAGGCCGCCAAGTGCTTTAAATTAATTCACTGTTGATTACCTAGGTAACTCAGATTCCTGTTTTCTTGTGGTAACGACCTTAATCAATGTATGTACATACCTTACCTTAGGTTCTGAGTCTAGAACATGCAGGGCCCAGTTACAGCTGGAGACGCCAGTGAAAGCCAAGTTTTGGCTCTGGGTCAAGGCCAAGGCCAAGGTCAGACTCAAAGACAGCGAATAACTTCACGAATCCAACATCACTTGATCGCCCTCTCCTTTCTTCGCTCTCTCCTTTCTCTCACCTCTTCCAGTCAAAATCATCATCACAAAACCAGAACCAAACCCAAAAACATGGCTCATGAGCTCAAAGCTGGCGGAGGCGCCAGCGAAGTTACTCGCTCCCTCTCCAACGTCGACCCCATCATCAGCGGCCAGCTCGTCAAGCTTTTCCAGTCTCTGGCCGATAGACAAGACAAGACCTGGAGCAAGGAGAGACTTGCCTCCTTCATCACAGATGTTCAACAAGATGTCCCTTCACCCGCTGTCCAAGAACTTCTCACCAGAGACCACCTCGATCTAGATGGCTTCATGGCCTGGATGACGTCGTCTCATGCAGCTGCTACAACCCCGCCTAAACCCCAAGATCTCTCATATCCCCTTGCTTCCTACTTCATCAGCTCCAGCCACAACACTTACCTCACCGGAAACCAACTCTCGAGTGACAGCTCGACCAGGCCTTACACCGAAACTCTGCTACGGGGCGGGCGCTGTATCGAGATCGATGTCTGGGATGGCGATGAGTCTGACCCTGAGGGCACGAGTAGTCCTTCTAGCAGCGATGAGGAGAGAGGTGTGAAGAAAGTCGTAAGAAAGACAAAAAAGAGAAGCACTTTTGGAAAGCTCAAAGAAAAGCTCGCAAAGACGAGTCTCCGTGATAAGGATGAGTCCTCCGACCCCGCCTCCGGCCAACAGCCCGCTCCCACTCCCGCTCCCGGCGCCGACCCCGATTCCACGGAGCCCGAAGCCGCTATCGTTGAGCCCCGTGTGCTCCACGGCTACACCCTCACCAAAGAGATTTCCTTCCGGGCTGTCTGTGAGACTATTCGTGAGAGCGCCTTTGTTGTTAGCGACTTGCCCGTCATCGTCTCTCTCGAAGTCCACTGTAAACCGGACCAGCAACTTGCCATGGTCCGTATTATGAAGGAAGTCTGGGGCGATCTTCTCGTCCCAGAACCCGAGAACGAACCTGATGCTCTACCCAGCCCAGATGAACTGCGTCGAAAGCTGATTGTCAAGGTCAAGTATGCACCACCTGGTGCAGATGCCACTCAAGAGGAGAGCGAGGAGGAGGACAGGGCGCCAGCTCCCGGTGCTCAGGCTGGTGATGCTCCACCAAAGAAGCCGGCAAAGATTATACAGGAGCTGAGTCGCATGGGTTTCCATGCGCGAGGTGTGTCTTTCAAGAGCTTGACACAGCCAGAAGCTGGTATGCCCACACACATCTTTTCCCTGTCAGAGAAGAAGGTCATCGATGTGCACGAGAAGCAAGCATCTGATCTGTTTAATCACAATCGACACTTTCTCATGAGAACCTATCCTTGGGGTCTGCGAATAGGATCGTCTAATCTCGACCCTTCGGTTTTCTGGCGCAAGGGTATTCAGATCGTTGCACTCAATTGGCAGAGATGGGATGAGGGCATGATGCTCAACGAAGGCATGTTTGCTGGAACAGGAGGATATGTCCTTAAACCTCAAGGTACATACTCATTCTAAACGATCTCACGAACCATTCATCTAACTTCTATTAGGCTACCGTTCCAATCGCAGCGACGAAGAAATCCAAAACACCATCACCCGGAAATCACTCCATCTCACAATCACAGTCCTCGCCGCTCAAAACATTCCCCTCCCACCAGGCGACACCTCCACTAGAGGCTTTGAGCCTTATGTCAAAGTCGAGCTTCACGTCGAAGGACCTGATGAATTCCACGGCGGCCCGGTCCCTAACGAAGGACACGAGCGCGAGGGTGAATACAAGGCCCGCACGAAGACACACCGTGGCAACATGGTAGACTTTGCTGGTGAACGTCTCGAATTCCCCCCTGTGCCTCATGTCGTCGATGAACTCTCATGGGTGCGATTTACAGTGCGCGATGATGAGATCGGAAGGGATGACTTGGCGGCTTGGGCTTGTATGAGACTTGATAGGCTGGGTAACGGATATCGGTTTGTGCATCTCATGGACTGTGAGGGACGCATCACGGATGGTGCAATTTTTATCAAGGTTGATAAGAAGTTGGTTTAGCTGAGATGAAGTGGCATAACGATGATGTGATTTTGTGTTTTATTTATCCTGCATATGCATACAACGAGAGCGATTTTCACCAAGGACGCTATTGTAATTTTAATTTGAATCAACTGCTGGATTCAAAAAGAGACGACATGTCAGTGCCGTTCAAGGGTCAAGATAGCGACGGGCACTATATGATTGAAATGGCAAACAATAACATTATCTTATTCTCTGGAATGGCTTATATCAGGGATCTTGTAAAGCATTTTTCACGAGGCGTCTGGTTGAAAACACATAGACACAAATGAAATTCAATTCAAGAGTGAGGAATGTATCATCTCACTCCAAAAGTAGCTAACACTAACACGCTAGAATCTCTCTCAAACACTCATACTTAGTAGTCGTTGTCACCACTGTTCTTGTTTCCCCGGAGCTTGTCCTCAACCTTGTCCTTGACCTTGTCGAGGAAACCACCCGATCGGTTGTTGTCGTTATCATTGTCATTGTTGCCAGACCCGTATGTGTTGCTAGAACCATAAGAATCGTTGTCCTTGTTGCTGGAGCCATAGGAGTCGTTGTTGCTGGAGCCGTAGCTGTCATTGTTGCTAGAGCCGTATGTGTTGCTGGTTCCGTAAGAGTCGCTGCTCTTGTTGCCGGAACCGTAGGAGTCGTTGTTGCTGGATCCATAAGAGTTGTCGTTGTCATTGTTTCTGGAGCCATAAGAATCGCTGTCCTTGTTGCTGGAGCCGTAGGAGTTGTCGTTGTCATTGTCGCGACGGCTGGAGCCCTGATGTTCATGTTAGTCATGAAGGATCTACTTGGCATACTAATTCACTTACGTAGCTGTCGTTGCCGCCGCTTAGGCCAGAGTTACCGGACGAGCCATAAGAGTTGTCGTTGTCATTGTCACGGCGGCTTGAGCCATAAGAGTCATTGTTACTGGATCCGTACGAATCGTTGTTGCTGGAGCCATACGAATCATTGTTGTCGCGGCCAGATGAGCCCTGAGCTGTGTTAGATTGCGCGAGTATAGAGGACTAGTATGTACTCACGTAGCTGCTGCTGTTGTTGTTGTTGCCAGAGCCATAAGAGTTGTCGTTATCGTTGTCACGGTTGGAAGAACCGTAGCTGTTGTCGTTATCACGGTTGGATTATCACGGTTGGAAGAACCGTACGATCACGGTTGGAAGAACCGTAGCTGTTGTCGTTATCACGGTTGGAAGAACCGTACGAGTTGTCGTTGTCGTTGTCGCGGCGGCTGGAGCCCTGAGAGAGAGTTAGTTCATGAGAGGTTAGATAGAGCTGAGAGAACGTACGTAGCTGTTGTCACCGTAGCTGTCAGACATGTTGATTATTGAGGGGTTTGGTTTGAGAGAGAATAGGTAGTTGATGATGTAGATAGATAGATTGTGCAATAGTATGAATGGGAAATAGTCCGAACATGAGAGGGCAAGCTTCTGTTTAATACCTATGTGAGAGAAGCTCCCTCTCACTCCCCCTCCAAGTTAGCTTGGAGTTCCCCATCTTCATCATGTGGATCAACAAGCTCCCCTCCCCCTCCCTCCCTCCTTCATCACAGGGAGGAATGACGTGCCGCTGTTCCATTGTGGCATAGACCTTGTCTTAGAAAGCTGAAGCTGCATAGACTACTCCGTAGTTAGCGGAGTGTTTTAGCTTCGGAGCACCCCATGTACTGTACGTACCCTGCAACCTGCGAGACTTGATAGATGGGTATCAGAATCTTGAGACGATGTGATCATGTCCCACAAGGAACGCGCGTTGACTGAGATACATTGCTGTAGCTGTCGTACCATGAGGTACATGGACCCAGCCCAAAGCTAAGTTTAGCCTGGGAATTTGAAACTGGTGATCAAATTCTTGGGACTCGTTGTAACCCGAATGTCCTTGGAATAAGCTCTCCGTGATAGACCCTGCCAAGAAATCGAACGTAGATACCTCTCACGATACTTGGGTCCCTTGATGCCCCTCCTACCCCTCTATCACTCTGTACTATATTTGCTTTTCGGTAAAAACCTGTTGTTTGTGCATTGCTTAGCCAGTGAGTGCGACATTCCCACGAATCAGCCTCTTCTGCAAGCAATTGGCACGATCAGCACGTCTCAGCTTGTCTTGTCTGGTGTCGTCATGTTTCTTGTCTGTGATGAGATAGCTCAGGCAAGGTACGTATTGAAACCTCTCAGGCCATTGATCTGCCTGAAAAGCGCATTAGCCTTGATCTAACAGGGAAACGCTAGGCCAAACAAGCAATGAACGGACCCTCCGCGACCCAGCTTTGCAGGGTCCAAGCCAGGTCCCAGAACCTGGACGAGCTGACCTGTAGACTCCACGGACTGTGGCTATGCCAGCTCTGAGTCTGAGCTGTATCGGTACCAAGCTATCGGCATCGAGAACCAAGTTGCGGTCTAACAAGAAGAGTCCAGATCTTCAGGGCCCGGATGATCGACTCAGATCAAAGCCGAGCAGCAACGGACATGAATTTTGGGCTGAAGCTTCACCGTGAAAGACAAAGGTGAGGCAGAAGTGGATGCTTGAGAGGAAGAGTCGGCATCAGAGGATGAAATCGTCTGAGTGACATTCCCTCCCCTCATTTGCCAAGACGGGGTCTAAGTCAAGATCGCGTTCGGAATCGGGTCTAGCAACCTTGTCTTGAACCCCCGCTCAAGTTCCAGAACAACTGCTCACTCTTGATAGTGAGAGAATAGTAGGTGCTGTAGCAATAGCAACCCCGCTTCACCAGGACCCTTGCCTTGGCAATTGATCCTTCGATTGCTTATCCTAGCTTGCTTCCTTGATATTGATGAGTGCATTCCCGGATTTTCATATCTATTAAGGTCGTATTATCTTATAAGAGCCGGGTATAACTTGCAATCTTTGTCCCCAAACAAGTTCACGAGTGTATGGGTTGGTGGTAGGCTAACACGCCTCGCTGTTCGGTATTTCTCAGACCACCACACCAACAAAGACGTTCAAGCTAATAATAAGTCAAACTTCTGGGCATCCAGTTCGTGCCCTGTCCAATACTCTGTCTCCCCACGTGTGGTGATTGCCCGTCCTCAGCAAACTATCGTCGCCCGGCGTGTCCGGCTTCTTCAACGGAGACATACCCAATTCCTAGTAGATCTCGATCTGCCTCAAGCACAAATCGCCCATTGAGGCTAGATACTCAAGCACAAATGACACAATTGCATCAAGACTCACGGCAACAAGCCCAACACCAGTAACGCCCACATGCGCCTGCGGGGTTTCCCACGATAGCCAGATGAGCAGCCTAACAACCCAATACCCCTTGAAATGTTTCACAACGTCATCATTCCAGGGCGTAACGAAAGTTACGAATAGGTAACTGCCGCTGAAGTTACTTTATTACATCCTTAATGTAACGTGCAACAAGCTTGTCTTTGACTTTGCGGCAAACATACACTTTCTGGCCCGGCAAGGTAAAGAATTTCATCCAGAACAGTGCATGCACTATGGCAACATTGTGCCGAGGGATGTCATCTCTACAGATGGCTAGACCTGTCAGGCCCAGGGAGCGCGCCGCTCATCATGGCAGGTTCCGCGCTTGCACCGAGAATCAGTGTTCGACCTCCTCGAGTTCCCCACCAAGCTACCCCAATAGCTGCTCGTTCTACGTCTAGCTCTCCACTAACAAGAATCTGCAAGAATCGTTGCTTGACTGGTTCCCTTAGTACGGGATCCTCAATTTCATTCATGGCTTGAGCAGCGATCGTGAACCATTCTTCCACCAGAGGAAGAGGTAGGTATGGAAGTGAATCAACTAGAGCTAAAGCAAGTGAACTCTGCTGAGAATGACGTTCCTCCTGGGTCTCTTCCATCGCAGCTTGTGCGACGATATCTGCTGTTGGTGACAGCAGACTCGTTGATGCCGTGGAAATTGAAGCTCGAAGCATCTCTAGAAGTGTCTCTGATAGATGCGGCTCCAGCTCTGCAATGGGAAACGGAGGTGATACAATCTGCATCACCGTCTTGAAGGCCACTCTGAACTGACGGGATGAGATATGCTGCGGGAATGAGTTGAACAGCAGAGCGATATAGAAAGGTGTGAGTTCAATGGTAAGAGGGCTATGTTGAGGGCAAGATATGGTTGACAAAATGGCACTGTGTGCGGATTCGAAGATCTCAACCATATTTTGTGTCGTAGGCCCTTCATGTGAGATGTATGCAATCGCCGGTTTGATTATAAGAGCATCGCATGCATCGGTTGGCAGAGTGAGTGGTAAGTGTTCAGAGACATTAAGGTAGAATAGGTCCAAGATTCTTTGTAGATATGTCGTTGACGTTGATGCATCTTCGGATGGTCGGAATTCCTGGAGGAAACTGTGGCAAGCAGGGGCACTCCGAGAGAGCGAGTCGATCGAAGTGAGGTATGTGAAGTTGTACACTTGGAACGCATTGTTGCCGTTCCTTGACGAGACGAAGAAGATGTTGCGTAATATGCGAAGAGATTTTGACGCGATGACAGGAGCAGCCATATCGTTGAGCATACGCGGGTCGAGGAGACTTCGTGAGACAATCGCCTGTAGAATAGCAACCGTCCCAAACATGAGCTTCCTCAGCAGGTTCCATAGAACTGGCCATGTGCTTGTAATGGTCTCCTGTGTCAGCACATTGCCCTCAAGCGCTGGATCTATGTCGCACAATCGATTCAACCGCCACATCTCCAATACCTGGCTGCTAAAGGCAAGAAGAGCATCTTGCGCGGCAATCACAGCCTGTGTGTCTGTAGCCTGTTGAACAGCATACCCAGCAAGCTTCGCTAACGGCCCCATGTTGGCTAGAGTAGGTCGCCTATCCAGCTCTTGGATGAATCGAAACGAGGGCGTACTTGGTGACCATGCGAGGAGATGATTTGGTGATTCGACAACCTGGGAGCTCACTGCCGCTAAGAATTGACCGTGGCCGAGGCCCTCCTCAGCTGTCACTGTCCACACAATGAGAGGCAACAGCGCATTGCAGTTGATGAGGCTTCGATGGAAGTCAGACAGTAGCGGAAAGGCAAAGTTAAGGGCCATGACAACCGATGCGCCTGCGACCGGACCATCTTCGTCGTGACTCTCGAGTGCCAGATTTGCCGCCATCACTACCGCCTCTTCAAGAGTATTCCTCATACCACGCGACAAGGACTGCCGATTGCTGGACTCCATGCCCATAAGAACACCGGTTAGAACCAAAAGATGCTGCCATCGCCTCGATCGATCGTCCGCTCCTTTAACGACGGCGCGCGTCCATTCTTCGCAGCTCAGTCCGCCGCCCTCATGGGGTTCTTTCCGATCGCGATTAGCGACTTCGTAGTTATGGATGCGCGCGGCCGCGGTATTATAAATGCTGATAACTCGAACCGAAGTGCGAATGCCGCCTGGCTGGAACCATATCGCAGGAGCCGTCAACAGTTGCGACGTGAGAAGGCCGAGATTTAGAGGATTTGTGAGCTCGGTGAGGAGATGTGTTGTCGACCCGATGATCTGCTCGGTCTTTGCAGCATCGTGGACGTCTGGGTAATGCTGCAGAACTGTTCTGAGAAGTCTATCGGGAGACATATCGACGCATTCGGTTTGTGTGGTGAGTGTGAGGAAGGTGTCGATGGAGAGTTGATGATGGATCTAGGTTGACAATTCCGAGGTTGCGGTTGCGGTTGCGCATGCCGACTTCACGGGCTTTTGCCGAGGCCTGGAGGATGACGTTCCGGGGGAACTTTCAGCTCCTAGGCATGGCACCTTGGACCCCTGTCCCCCCTGTCGCTGCTAATTCCAACACCCCATAATCATAATCATATTCAATCCTATTCCCAACGACGCCGCAAAAATCGGCCAAGTTGGGAGCTGTTGCAGCCTTCATGATGGCAGGGTATGTTCAGATTGAGATCCATCCTTCTCGCAAGCAAATTGCTAATCAGTACAAACGATAGATGGCCCTGCCAAATACTCCTCCACCAGAATATCAAACGCCGCGCTTCCCGTCCCTAAACGTCAAGACTCTATATGACACCACCGCAGACAAACAATATACACTCTACTATGTCTTAGATGTTTGGCGATTTACTTTACTATGGACGCTCATTATATATGCATGCTTCCACATGGGGGCAGTTCTGATTGCCATGTTTACCCACAGTTGGAAGAAGTCGTCTTGGAGATATCTATGGGCAGCACCCGTCATCTATCTCGTTATTGCTGGGCTTGAGGCTGTCATGGCCGGGAGTATTGTTGGCTTAGTGTAAGTCGTGTTGGTCTTGCAAACTACCTTACCGTGACTAAAAGATCATTAGGTTGGGAGCTGTTTACTCTGCTGGATACTACGAGATGAACACCTGGATTCCTTGTACCTGGGGATTCATCAACGTATTGGTACTCATTATTTCCTCGTTCTCAATCCAAGGAGGACTTTGATGAGGGACTTTTGATCACATATCATTCTACCTTGTTTTAGAGACCAGCTTCGATCTGTCGCAGACTCTGCACAAGAAGGGCCACCGGTTTCACACTGCGTGCTTGTCTGAATGCCAGCCCAAAGTTAGCTGCGTTGGCTTCAAATTGCGTTCTGTCGAGTGTGGATTTTGAGTGTTGGAACTTGACCATATACCATGTGCAGAAGCATTAACCGGTGGAAATCTTTGGAAGAAAGTACAGCTTATTAGGGCATCGGTGCATCGTTTTGTTTACAATATACCCATTCTTGTGTCTAGAAGCAATCCCATCAAATAGTGTATATCCACACGTGAGCCTTTGAAACTTGATGATTTGATAAGTGCTACCAACATAGCTCATCTGTGCATGGAAAGGCGTCTTCCTTCCTAGATCCATGTGATCTCCTTTGTGATATCAGTTTCAGCAGTCACATTGTCTCAAGCAAGCTGGCATCTCAAAAGTACCCCTCATTCAAAGCTACCTTGAGTTCCGAGTTCGATTCTGCCATCCTCGAAAATCAGCGCCGACGAGAAGACAAAAACAACCGCCAAACCATAAAACGACTTATAAAATCATCGCAAAGACTTCCAGTGTGATTCAGAACTAGTTCGGTATCTGATTAAAATTGATTGAGCTCATTTGTGGTGTTTTTATACATTGACAGTGTTTTTGATCCTGGGCCAGATAGCAGCTTCATGTACCCATAGCTCATAGGTACCTACTTTGATTTCCATTCTCGGCCACCCTGGAGCCAACCTAATGCTCAGGTGGATAGGTCCACTAAGCTCAGCCTCCAAACTCATGAGCTCAGGCCAACAATCTTGATATTGTTCTCTGCCTCACAATCCAAGACTGCAGACGCCATTCGGGGACGAGGGCCAACACGCCTTCTGATTAATAACTTTTCATTTATTTATTTCAGTCCCAAAGACAACCTTTCTCTTCTTTCTCTTCTTTTCACGACTCTTCTCAGAATTTGTACGTTCATCTCATCATCTCATCTTTCATCAAGCTTCATATCAACCCCTGAAGACCTCATGAGATCGTATAGACTATTTCCTGACTTTTTATCAAAGAAAACCATGTCTGAAACCATGCAAAACGCGGGTGCTAGACCTGTCAACTTCAGCCCTTCAGCTGCTCATCATCGAGCATCGCCTACTCATCATGACTCCTCCTTCGGCAACTCTCGCTCTCTGGACGAACTCATGATCCTAAAGCCCTACTTTGCCGGCCAGCCCAAGTCACTCTCAGGTATCGCTCTTCGAGCTTTCTGCCTCGGTATTACCTTGGCTTGTAGTGCTATCTCCATGGGGGCCATTCTGTTCTTGACTTCTAGCCCTGCTTGGCGTGTTCCGTTCTTCCTGTTTGCACTCTCAGCTTTCCACTTTCTCGAGTTTTGGACTACGGCTGAGAAGAATACACTTGTGGCTAGTATTGGAAGTTTTCTCCTGACCGCAAACTGGCCAGGATACGCCATCGCCCATTCAGCTGCGTTTATCGAATGTGCCATCGTCAACCTTTTCTTCCCTAATCGACACTGGGCACCCTATGGCACCGGTCCTATCCTTCTGCTCCTCGGCCTTGCCATGGTCCCCGTCGGACAGTACGTCCGCTCAGTGGCCATGTTGCAAGCTGGAGCCAGTTTCAATCATCATATCCAGACCAGGAAGAAGGATTCCCATGAGTTGGTGACTTCAGGTATCTACTCCATCTTCCGCCACCCAAGTTACTTTGGATTCTTTTACTGGGGATTGGGAACACAGCTGGTTATGGGCAACGTTTTGTGCTTCTTTGCATATGCGGCTGTTCTCTGGATGTTCTTTAGCAAGCGAATTAAACACGAGGAGGCCAAGTTGATTGAGTTCTTCCAAGATGATTACGTACAGTATCGGAAGAGAGTGGGAACAAAGATTCCTTTCATCGCTTAGGAGATGCGAGAGAAGAGGGGGGCGATCTAGCAATAGGCGCATGTAAATACAGCTAAGACTAGAAATACTTCCCAGATTACTTGCAATAGGACCACCGGTCCCCAAGGTGGTAAAACCTAGTATATACGATTATAGGCAAACGAGTTCTTAATAACAATTCATCAAATATGTATCATAACAATACGGTAAATATGCTAGCTGAACAATACCAGAACAGTATCCAGAAACTTTATCCGTAGCCAAGACACTTCAACTCGATACTGTCGTCATCTGTTTGCTGACACTTCCATACTTTGCTTGCCAAGCGTAGAAGTACATAAGTGCTGCAAAGGGTTGTCCAAATATGGTGAATGATACCCAAAAAATAGTATTACCAACTATTTTGCCAGTGTGCCCAAGCTTCATGTTTTCAAGAGGCTTGGTCAATGCAATAAGTGGCAGTTGAAGGAACATACCCAGGAAAGCAACGCCTACGACCGTCAGCTGTGTAACTAGGATTCAGGATATGAAAACTTACCAATGATGTTATGCGTAGGGACACCGACAAGGATCTCGTGAAGAATAGCCGATACTAGGAAGACTACAAAGCTGGCGGCTTGAGGACTCCAACCACGCCCGATCATGGGCATGTACAGATGACGCTTGAAATACGTGTAAACAGGCTTATTCCACGTACGCCAGTATGCTCCCAAGCTCTCACTGTTCCACCAATCGTCATAGAATGACCTGTCGCCAAACCTCAAAACCTCGGCCAGGACGTTGAGGAACGACTGGAAGAGTGCGAAGAAACCAGCAAGCCAGATGACTAGGGAGATTGTCGAAAGCTTAAGTAACCGTTCCAGAATAGACATAAGGTCAAGGGAAGCGATCTTGTCGAGCGAGTTCCGAAGTACAGGTGCAGCATACTGAGCACTCGCAACCCACATGAACACACTGAGGCCGAAAATTTCCCCAACTCGCTTGGCAACAAAGACCCATCTGATTTTATCGGTGCGAGGATACACGGGCTGGTATACGAGTGTGGGCGCCCACCAGAAGTAGACCAGGTTGCTGAAGGTGATGTTCTGGGGATACGGGCATTGCGTGTACAGCTCAGGTACCAGTTCGCGCTCTCCTTCCACAGGATGCAGATAGGCATGTCTCAAGTCTCGGTTGGTGAAAGCATACGATGCAGTCTTGAGCCAAACAACTATGGCATGCATCTCAGTCACAGTACCAATGAGAGGATGATGAATCTTGAAGTACACCACCCAGGTGGTCAGGACAAGGGCAAGTGTGATGTTGAAAAGATGAGCCCATGCGACAACAACCCAAGTCTTATGAAACCTCTTGCGCTCCTGCTCTGAGGGGCCACCAGAAGGTGAATCATTGACACGCTTTAGAGATCCTCGAGCCTGCTGAGCAGCAGCCAGCTCAATCAAGTAGGCAGCAAGGAGATGGCATGGGATGAGGAAGTAAAGGAGTAGACCTAAGTAGATATCTTGACGACTGTAATCATGACACCTCACGCAGATCAATACTCCATACTATAGACTGTATTAGCTGGTTGTCGAGGGCATAATTGATGGGCAGGAGATGAATCATACCTTTTGGATGTTCTCAATCATCAATCGCAAGTTTCCAACAACTGCCAAGCATTAACAACCCAACGAATAACATCATAATGAGGGGCTGAAGCTTCCATACCAAGCACAATGACCATGAGGTTACGGAACCCGATAAAGCTGGGGGCAGCATCGGAATCGTGACTCAGACATGAAGGTCTCGTCTGTTTGTGAACCGCAGCGACGTGTCTGTACTTCTGGCCAGGCTTCTTTGGAGTTTTGGTCGTGGCAGTTCCGTTACCGTTTCCGTTGGTACGATTGTTGGGTTCGTTCTGTGTGACGTCGTGGCCGCTGCGCCGGGAGACAGAGGCCGAACCATTCGAGGTTTCTATACTCGTCGCTGTAGCCGAGTTCATCTTGTAGAAGCCTTGCCTAGACGGCAGACTAATCGCGCAAAGGATAGGAGCCCAAGAAATTAGGTGAAAATAAGAGAAAAGACAGAATTGAGCAGAGTTACCGACGGAGACACGACGACCTTGTTAACGTAAAGTTGTTTGGGTGGCGGCGTTTGTTACAAGGATGATAAGATACTGAGGGGCGCCACTGTCGCAGTGAATGAACCACCTACAGCTTCGAGATAAAGCACGTTAAAGAGTTTATCAAACCACAGGAATGTAGGAGATAAAGGGTCGGAGAAAAAAAGGAGGTGAAAGAGACATTCCAATTAAAAACAAACAGTCAATTGAGTTTCTTTCGCAACGGCCTCTCTCCTCACTCTTCTTGGTTATCCCATCTCGCCAAGTACATCCATTACCTATAAGTTAGTACTATTATGCAGAGCAGCCATTTTGGCGCCTCTTCTGGCGGGGCTGTTTGAGCTTTTTCGCTCTGGTCATTTTTAGCAGCAACTCAGGGACTTTTACAGTGAGGCTAAAGACAATCATCAACGCTAAAGGGGGGGCCCGGGAGCATAACACCCCTGGCTTCCGCTGCATTCTGAGCGTTTTAATGGATCGACGAACCCTCCCGAGCTACTGGCTTGTGGCGCTGCAGGGGAAGGTATGCGGCAACAGGTCGCAGGCCCCAGAAGGCTTGCAACTTTGCGACTGATATCAATGTGAAAGCATGTGAAAGTGCGGTTGTATTGCATGCGCCATGCTGTTGGTGAGATGCAACAGTCATACCTAGCATGAGCGAACTAACGCAGTAAGCTCGGGTAGAGCCCGTGGGTGATGAATCTGCGCCCCAACAATTCGGTATACGAAAGAATATTCACGCATGTGCATGTCGGTAGCAGAGGCACTTTTTTATCTCATCAGATCTAACCGTTGAGAGTCTCAAGTTTTGGAGAGTGAGTGAGAGGTCATGTGACTTGGAGTTTTCGGAGAAGGCCTGACTCCAAAACTGAGGATGGCCGGTTAATCGTCGCTTGAATTGGCCCTCGGTAGCTTTGAACTTCCATTCAACTGAAAGCTCACGCGCCTCAAGTAACAGCATTGTCTTTGTTCATCCTCTATCAAATCACTTCACCGCCCCCGACGTCTTCTTACAAAAATTCAATTTTCATCATCGCCATATAGAACCTCCGTCTGACCAGCTGCACAGAGATTATCCAACAGCGACTTCATAGCTGCATTGGTTGTTCATTTCAATCTTGAAAGACCCACCCACCCCCTGCGACGCGCTTCTCAAGAGAGCTATTGTGCATGCTTGATACTCCAAAGAGAATCCGTCACGATGGCCTATGAGCCTCGTGGTGATCATGGTGGCGGCCAGGGCCAAGATGGGGCATTTGTCAAGGTTCGAGGCAGGCGTAAGTTTACCCATCATACTCACTCAGTGAAATGCATGTCTCCTCTTGTGTTTGCATTGCCAAGCTGCTCAGTGGCAGAAAAATATGAAAGTTGTGGGAGAGATGCTACTTCATCAAATGTCCCTGTTCCATGTATGTTCAAGGGACGGCTGTTGTTTAGACGAGCAATCGAGATGTTTGGTTTTGGCCAACCTCATGCTTCAAAGCAGGGGTTCTTTCTGGGGCTATGGGAGAGGCATTCGAATACACATACATCATAACCTGAAGACTTAAATCACAACTGGTTTCAAACTGACGCTTCAACTCCAGGACCTGTGACTGACTACGGTGCAACTATAACACACTGGCAACATGATCGTGCCCCTAGCTATAAGGGAGGGTATACTGGCGAAGCTGAGCGACCTAGTGTTAGCTATATCGTTGATGTGAGTAGCGTTCTATATGAATAACTGCCCTATGACTGACCCTAAAATAGATGCTTCCACCTGCAGCACGTATCACAAAAGCTGCCGATAGTATCCCTATTAAGCACCTTCACTCTTCTCTCAACAAAATCAAGCACCCCATCAATGTAGTGCGGTGGACACCAGAAGGTCGACGGTTATTGACAGCATCGACCAGTGGCGAATTCACACTATGGAACGGAACGGGCTTCAATTTCGAAACCATCATGCAGGCTCACGATTCTGCCATTCGTGCTCTGGAATATTCACATAGCGATGACTGGCTTATCTCAGCGGATCACGATGGAGTTATCAAGTACTGGCAACCAAACTTCAACAATGTCCAGAGCATCAACGCCCACACTGACCCTATTCGAGACCTTGCTTTCAGCCCAAGTGATTCCAAATTTGTTACTGCAAGCGATGACTCGACCCTCAAGATCTTTGACTTTGCTCTGGGACAAATGGAATCCAAGCTTGAAGGTCATGGATGGGATGCAAAAAGTGTGGATTGGCATCCTACCAAGGGACTGCTCGTATCTGGTTCCAAGGACCATCTTGTCAAGCTTTGGGATCCTCGTACTAGCCGTTGTTTAACGACTCTACACGGCCACAAGAGCACTATTACAAAAGTACTGTTTGAAAAGGTTCGTGGTGCTTGTCTCGCTACATCTGCAAGAGACCAGACCGCTCGTGTTTTCGATCTTCGCATGATGCGTGATATTTGCCTTCTCAAAGGCCATGAGAAGGATATTTCCACTCTCACATGGCATCCTATCCATCCTAATCTTCTCAGCACTGGTGGTATGGACGGCTCGTTATTCCACTATCTGCTCGATTCACCAAACCCGCCTCCTGGCCAGTCCTTCACCGTCGCACCTTACGACAGTCCTGATCCATCATCAGTAGCCGCCCAGTCAGTATGGCCAATGCACAAGGTGCCCTTTGCTCATGATTATGCTATTTGGTCCCTCGACTGGCATCCTCTTGGACACATCCTGGCATCAGGATCTAATGATCGAATTACGCGTTTCTGGAGTCGTGCTAGACCTGGCGACACAGATGTTTTCCAGGATCGCTACCATATCGGTGAAGCAGCTGCCGAGGCCCAAGGGACCTGGGACCGCCGTGGTAATCGTCGGCAGCGCCAGGAGGAGGAACAACAAGAGATGGAAGACGAGATGGACGCTCTTGTTGACCAAGATGCACCGAAAGGTGCTGTCCCTGGACTGCCTGGTATTCCTGGACTGCCTCTTGGCGGCGGCCTACCGGGCCTTGGCTCAAGTATTCCACCTCCTCCCATTCCTGGCGTCGGTGCTGGCTCAGGTGCTCCTCCACCCCTCCTACCATTTCCCTTACCTGGACTCAATGGCGGCCCACCGCCGCCTCCCTTACCTGGACTGGATCCCAACAATCCTCCAGATCCAGCTCAACTCCTCGAGCTTATGAAGAAGGCGGGCGTGCCTCTCCCGCCACCTGGAGCCCTACCACCAGGAGCCTTGCCCCCTGGACTCATCCCACCACCGGGCAGCATGCCTCCCCCTCCCGGAAGCTTTGCCATGCCGGTCCCGCCACCTCCTATGCCTGGATATGACGCCGACAAGGCAGATGCTCGACGGAGAGCTCCCCTACCTAGTCAAGAGGAGAGCTTGCGCCACGAACAGCGGCAAGGAAAGTACACGAGAGCGAGATAGAGGAAACGAAGAAGAAGAAAAGTCGCCGATTCGATACCCTCTGGCGCTGGTGGTTTACGTAATGCTACCTGGTTGCAACTAAAGCAATGATATGTTGCATCTTTACAGAATCTGGCAGTTTCAAAACCTGTAATGTATACACAGAAAAGTTTTGTATACCCATCATTCGTCTAAGCCCGTAGGCAAGATGCACATGCTATTGGTGGTGCATATAATTCTAGATACTAAAACATGTAACATAATTGTGACGCTTTCATATGCAGCTGTGTATGTTATAAATTCGTCGAGAGCCGAAAACAGAGCATCTCATGCTCATTCGTTCCTCTATGCAAAGACCAATGTTTCCTTTCCCACTGTACAAATGCTTGGTAGCCTTCTATTTCTTGGGGAACGCCTTTTGCTTATCCGCGAAGTCTCGAATCAAAAGGGCACAGGTGTGGTCAGAACACAGACGTCGTCTTCGCTGAGGAGGTAGCTTAGTAGCAAATTCAAGACCGCTAGCACGCTCAACAGCCTCGAGAGGAACCTCGAAATCGGTGATAGGCTTAGAGTTAGGGATGGGGGCGTTAGGGAGAACGAAAGCGCCCAGCGCAACGTTTCCACCAACCCGACCATCCTCAGCAAAGATCACCTTGTAGAAGTGCGTGGGCACAGCAACTGAAGGAGGAGTGCCGATCATCTCGTACTTGACGTACCACTTGCCATCGGCCTCCTTCTTGGGAAGATAGAGAGGGCCTGTGACGATGCGGACTGAGGGATACTTGACTGTCAAACGACGACAGAAGTCCTCGAAGTGAGCCCAGTAGTCACGGTTGAAGCCATCGCCGACTTGAGGGCACATGTTTGTGAGGTAAAATGTGTCGTCCATGGCCTTCTGAGACCATTTACAGTCGGCAGCAGGGACCTGATGACCACGGTCATAACCGCTGCGGTAGTAGTCCTTCAACAGAGCCCGGAATTTTTGTGGCACAGAGTCATCTTCAAGAAAGCTGCTGTGCTTTCGATCACCATCGCGAATGGCAAGGGAAGCAGGAGTAATATGTTCGACGACCCAGTGAGGGTTTCGTGTACGACGATCGTAGGAAGAGACAAGGCCAGAGCGATTGGCGACATCGGCGATAGGGCCTGGAAAGCCATACTCGAAAAGACCTCCAGGGTTGACGATTGCGCTTGGGTCGATTGGCAAGCCGGAGGGCGCAGTGGCTGGAGGTCCGAAGACTTGGGCGGGAGGAACAGCGGGAGAGGCGGTGGGAGCAGGAAGAGCGGCGAAGGAGTTTGAGGTTGTCGGAGGAGGCGTAGCTAGAGTATTGGTCTCCTCAACGCGTTTACCGCCTCGAATGGAGTAAATGGCGGCAGTGATAGCAGCACCACCTCCTGCACCTAGGCAGGCCATAGTAGCGAGAGTAGTCTTGGACATGATTACTATCCCTTGAGAACAGACGAGGCTACGCAAAAAAGAAAGTAGAAAAAAGTTTGATCTTAATGAGCGAACGGACAATAGTATATGGGAAGTCAATGACTGGGAGTCAGATCACGCGCGATCTTTGCCCAAGGGTGTTGAGTTGCAGTGCCTCGTGATATTGAGATCGATCACAGGGTTTGAGATAGCTTTCGAGCCGACCCGTAGAAATTTTGGGAGCGAGCTCGGAACGGAACGTGGGGGGCCGTTGTTTTGCCGTTGTCGGTGGATTTTAAGGGTCTAGGGGGGCTGTGATTTGACGTCACTAAGGTAGGCGGTAATTCGAAGTTTGAGGGTAACAGTCAAATATGGAATATCGTTAGATCCCGCTATTCAAACACAGGGAAATGCATAAAGCGACAGACCGCTGAATAGCTAGTTATTTGCCCTACCTAGAGCATGGATTCGAAGCAAGATAGGGCATGAATCATGTAGGGATTGTTCTAGACACCGAATGATTCAGATTGATTCATCAAGGTGCGTGGCTTGTGAGACTTGAAAATGTAAGTTGCCGTGTATGACAAGACACGAGTTCATCGAGAGCCACTCACGAGGTTTGGGATTCTCGAGGGTCTTTCAGCCTCAAGGCGTATTTCGGGGTTGAGGCTCAGTGGAAGATCACACATTATGGAGGTGCTTGCTAGCGTAGACAGTAACTAGCGAATATCATGGGTAGCATTACCTATGATGTGGGGGATGACAAAGACGAGAAATTGATTCGCGCGCAAATCGCATCTTGAAACTTTAGCTCAGACAAGGTATGAGGCGCCATGATGAGAGGCGTTGCAGCTTTTATACGCTTGACTTGCATAGCCGCAGGAAGATTTAAGTCTCAGCTTGATGTCAGGGGACCAATGACTCTAGGTACATACTGTAAAGTAGGTATGTGAATAGTTACGTGCTACTCAAGTCACATATAATATAACCCCCACGATACCAGTTAGGGCAGTTATGGGGATCGCTATAATTAATAACGCACTATCAATCGATGTCTCACTGTTTTACTACTCGTTACAGCTACTACAATAAAAAGAGGCATGGCAATTCGTAAGCCAGGCGGTCAACGAGACGCCGTGATCCAATGATGCGCAGATGCTGAGACGTGAGAACCTTGAGGGACAGTTTTGATGGAGACGCACGGTCTCATGATGGTGTAAGTTGACCCCCAACTCGATCCTCTAAAAGGGTTCTAAGGGGCTGGCTGATTGTTTATAGCGTTGCAGTTGCTCTTCTCCTAGTTGAAGCACGAGGTTGAAATAGGAACTCTCTTAAAGGAACAATTCCTCATGTTAGGGCTTCCTTGTTCTATCTGATCCATTGTCGTAAGAGCCAGGCTACCTACCTTACCTTAATGCGCATTAGCAAAGCCCCATCCTTTGTCATTCGCCTCTGCAAGGCCCTTGAAACTCACATTCAGCCTCAGACTCACTCCTCTTCTCTCTCACTGCTGCATGCGAATCATTTTAACAGCCCCTTTGTCCTCTTCTTTGTCACTGAAGACTCTTGTTGTCATTGATTAGATACCTGAGTCGAGCCCAGACTAACAAGGTTCCCCCCGCCCACTGCGCTAAACAAAACCGCATCGATATTCCCCTGCTCGTTCGCTACCTACGTCAGACCTAGAACCAAAAAGATCTACAGCTTCCTTGCTCTTGCCTCTTTGCGCCCATCACACACCCTCGACGTCAAGTCTTGATCCCCCTCTCGGAATCCACACTTAGCCTTATCACCAGAGCTCGTTCCCAGGCGCAACATCAGTTCATACGCAGACGATACATTTAAGCAGCATGGCCACATCCGTGGGCCAGAGCAGCCTCGACAATGATACTCGCGGCTGGATCATGTGTGTTGTCAGCGGCATTGGTGAGTTGCTCCTCATTCCCAAGACCCCAAATGCGCTCGCTTCGCTTCCTGGTACAATTCTAACAACCTTTCTCAGCTTGCGTTGCTGGCGCCTCCATAGTATGTGTTGACGTTATCGTTCGATTATTTCCTGGCAAGAGAAACTTTCGCATCCAGGATAGCAATGTCTTCCTAGCTTGCTCTCTCAGCTTGAGTTTTGGTGTCATGGTAAGGTCCTCCTGGCAGCATCTGTCTCTTCTGCTAATAAAGAACAGCTATTTTCCGCATTGTATAGTATGCTACCGGAATCTAAAGAATATTTCCAGCAGGCCAAATGGTCTACTCAAGCTGCTGGCCTGGTCATGATGTCCTGTTTTGCTGGTGGGTTCATCGGTATCCAGGGAGTTTCGCGATTGCTTCACCAGTTCATGCCTACCCACGTCGTCGAATGCGATCATACACACGACGAAAACGCAACCAAAGACACTTCATGTCACCACGAGAGGAGACAGTCTCGCGCCCGTCGTCGCCAATCTTCCTATCCACCGCCGGAACAAGCACCTGTCAACAAGTCGCTTTCTAAATTAACCAATGGTAACGGACAAACCGCTGCGACCGAGTCTACACCTCTGCTAGAGTCCACTTTGGATAGCCCTACGCATCCTCTCAAGAGACAAGCCTCTGCTCGCGATGGAATGCAACGCCCTGCGAGTCCAATGCGAAGCCGTACCACTACAGGACTTACCGATGGCTTCCCTGAGAGGAGGAAGTCCATGCGAGAAGTTCAAAAGCGAGTCATGTCCTTTGTACAAGATACAAAGTGCAATTGCGACGAGTCAAACTCGTGCTACGGATTCACGGACCCTTGTGGCCAAGAGTGCTTCAAGCATCTAAGTAGCCGAACCAGTCTACCGAGCAGACCTGGAAGACAAACCCAGATTCTGCGCACCACCACTGGGTCATTCCTAAACCGCCCACCTGAACATTCTCATGCCCACCACGACCATGAGCATGAGCATGAGCATGAGAATGGATGCGAAGACTCTGTTGAGCCCTTTGCGAGACCAACTTATCGAACCAGCAGAGCCAAATCGCGAGAGCCATTGGATCCGATAGTCCCGGAGGAGCTCTCTGAACACGATAGCTCATGCTCATCTGCTGGAGACGACGAAGATGTCGAAGCTCAACATCATCACCACGTTCCAACAAATGCATTCTTGTCCATTGGTCTCCAGACCTCCATTGCCATCGCCCTGCACAAGTTTCCTGAAGGATTCATCACTTACGCTACCAACCACGTAAACCCATCTCTAGGTTTCAATGTTTTCATGGCACTATTTGTCCATAACATAACTGAAGGCTTTGCCATGTGCCTGCCGCTATACATGGCTCTGGGTTCTCGCTGGCGCGCCATGGCGTGGTCAGCCTTTCTCGGTGGTCTCTCTCAACCCATTGGTGCGGGCATTGCTGCACTATGGTTCAAGCTCGCCGATAAGACCAATATGCAACCCAACGCAGTTGCTTACGGGTGTCTCTTCGCTATCACTTCCGGCATCATGGTTAGTGTCGCATTGCAGTTGTTTGTGGAGAGTCTGAGCCTCAACCATAGCCGTAACCTCTGCATCTTCTTCGGCTTCCTGGGCATGGCTCTACTGGGATTCAGTAATGCCTTGGTGGGTTCTCACTAGATGTTTAGCTCCATACGAGATATATAGATACTTAGCCAGTATCTTTTGATGCTGGCCGTGCTCACACTTTGACACTCGTTCATGTCATTACTTGGCTCCTTTTCTTGCGCGGTGTTGGTCTGGGGTGCAATTGGGTTTCATTAGGAGGGGTATAAAATCATTCTGGGTTTCGGCATTCGGTAGACTGATAGAAAGGAAATAACTTCACTTTATACAAGAACTGGGTAAACTCGCCCAGACATCTCTATTTCTTTCATCATAGCCATTCCCATCGCTTTTGTGACATTGTAATTCATTCTTCATACATCGTGACGGAGCCATAATAGCCAGCCGCTCATATGGTGACCACCGTCAAGTCAAGCCTTGCGGCCGGGTATCTACATAGTATTTTAACTTTTTAGCTCTTAAAAACCCAGAACCTTTCAACTCCACAAATATTTTCTTTGCCTCAGAGAGCACCAAGAGCGGGGTCAATAAGAGGATCCTGTACTGCTGGATCTCTTACTAGCAGAAGTATATTGGTTTCGTCCTCCGGCCAGTCATCTCGCGGAGGACCATAGTCCATTGTGGCGGCAAAGATGTCGTCCTCCGGCATAATGCCAGGCCAATTTGTTGTATTGGGAAAAGTCCCATCGAAGAAGAACTGGGCAGGATCAAGCTGGTCTCCGGCTGGGATAAGAGATGGGTCAGTAGCCGGTGGGTGATACAGCTCAACATGTGCATCCCGGTCGTGGTAGCGAATGAAGGCTTCGTGACAGTGTGGACAAGAAATCGTTCTCTCCGCCTGGTTCACAGCACCGGATAGTTCATCAATAAGATTGATCTCTTGAGACGGCTCAGGTTTCGAGAGCTTGGGGCGTTCGTGGCCGAGGTGTTTATATCGAATATGATCCTCTAGTCGACTCTTGGTGCTGAACTTATCGCCACAGCCCTGATCGTTTGTCCAGCCCCGTAGGCCAGAACTATTGAGGTCAACTTGGCCGCAAACAAAGCGGAACCCCTCGTGCGCTGTACGAATATGAGCGTTGAGGTTGGACTTCTTCGTGAACTTCTTGTTGCATTCGTCGTATGGGCAAGCGATGTTCTTTCGATCCTCGACGGACTGGCCGGAATGGTGCATTTCGACATGTTTCTCCAGCTCCCATCGTGAGACAGATTTGAATTCGCAGAAAATACAGTTTTGATGCTCTTGGCGGATATGTGACTGAAGCAGCACTTCAGTAGTGAATCCGACCCGCTGTTCTGTCCCATCGGGCATCCTCTTCAAACCGCATTCGCCGCACCAGAACTTTGCCTCGCCATGATCCTTATCACGGTGTCGCTTCAAGGCCGCCTTGGACTCAAAAGCATGACGGCACCCTTGCTCTGGGCATTGGAGTGCAGGCAGGCCCTGGTGGTCTTTTCGAACGTGCTTGCTCAATGTCTCCTTCTTTCTGAAACTCTGCCCGCAATCTTGGCAACGGAATCTCTCTTCGCCTTCGTGAACAGCCTGGTGTCGTTTAAGTCGAGTACCCGTCACAAAGCTCTTGCCGCAGCCTTCCTTTTGACAGACGTGTTTTCGCTCAAGAGTATGGACGGCCTTGATGTGCTGCTTCAAGTGCTTGTCCTCTATATAGTCCTTATCACAACCATCATAAGGGCACTTGAATGGCCGGGAGTTGGTGTGAGAATTGAGGTGATCTCGTAATCTGGCAGGCCGATTGAAGGTCTTGGGGCAGCCAGGCCATGTGCAAGCCAGAGTTTTGAGATCCGAAGGAAATTTAGCCCTGGGAGTCGTAGCAGCAGTGTTCACGGTTTGTGGTGAATCAGGGTCCTGAGTGGAATATGGAGTATGAGCACTAGTTAAGTCGTCCTCTGCATCATCAATATCTAAGTTTGCAATATCAGCAGCTGCATCTTCAGAACTCAGGAAGGGTAAGAAACCGTACATAAGTCATCTGGGCCTCCACGATAAAGCCTCTTGGCCGGAGGGACATCAACAGATGCCTCAGCAGCTTCTCGTTTACTCATAATGCTGTCATGCCGAGGACCCTTCAGTTTTGTAAATGTCGAAGCAAGCTTGGAAGTGGCAGAATTGATTTCAATTTAAGGCGGTGACTATATTTTTGTGTGGGGATTGCAGGGATGAGAGTCAAGAGCGATCCACCTTAAAGCTTCTTTCGCGCCGATATTCTTTGTCCAAAGAAAGGTGCGGAAGGTGCGCCGGAAAAACATCGGCTTGTCCAGGTTTTACTTTGTTCTCCTCTAGAACTTTTTTACGAGGTTGGCCTGGGCCATTCTGAAACCATCCATTGCGAAAGCAACTCTAGACTAAGAACACCCTCACATTCATTCTTCATCAAGTTCATATCAAACGACATTGACCATGTCTGATTTCGGCGATGATGATGTTGGCGGCGCTGGCGGGTAAGTTGCTTCCTGATCTTTGCAGGCGCACGCGAATCTAACTCGTAGGCAGCGACGAGCCCATGTACGAAGAGGAGGAGATCACCGAGTACTACGACCCCGAGGTTCTCGAGGAGGAGGATGGCGACCAGCAACAAAACGGACAAGATCAGGATAATGTCGTAGTCTCGGGAGATCCTTCTGCCGCTGCCAACGCGCTGAAGGGCGGCGACAAGCTACTCAAAGACAAGAAGATTCCCGAGAACGAGCGAACTACCACACCCTACATGACCAAGTACGAGAGGGCACGCATCCTCGGTACACGCGCTCTGCAGATCAGGTCCGCATCACCTTGCTGAACTGCAGTAACTTCCGGAAACTAACTGGATGCAGCATGAATGCGCCTGTGCTAGTTGATCTCGAGGGTGAGACTGATCCCCTTCAAATTGCGATCAAGGAGATGCGGGAAAAGAAGATCCCCCTGATCGTGCGGCGATACATGCCCGATGGCTAGTAAGTGATACTTGTTGAGGCAGCTCGAAGATGCCCTACTGACGCGTGTGGTACAGCTACGAGGATTGGACCTGCGAGGAACTGCTACAGTAAGCGACCAAAGGACTAGCACGTCGCGAAACAACCGATTGCCCCCGAGGCGTATATACCCATGCGACCCTCCTTAGATACAATCGAGCTGGAACGTTGTGTGCTCCCTTCTGGCTTGACATGTTGTATAGTGTATCAGGAGGTTAATTAATCATGTATAAGCGCGGCGTTTGAGATTGAGATTGATTTACACAGGAACTAGACGAAAAAACAAGAAGGAAATCTACTTTGCTTCTGTGTCTTGGTGCACGAGTGTGTTGATTGTCTCTGACGCCGTCTTTGATGAAGACGGGCAAAGAAATTCCCAACAGCAAACACTGTTGACGGATGCTCCAACGTCACATCGTTGCCAATACGGATATGCCCGGTAGATTTCCATGAGAGAATGATGTCAAGTGGGAAAAGGCAGATGGCTTGTTTTGGATCTGATGGGCCGAATACGTCGGGCCAGATTGTGTGTCACTGAAACACCGGCGCGAGACATGACGGCGTCTTGTGGTGTTTGGACGCAACCTCAAATGCGCAGTGGCCTTTTCATACGTCACAAAGTCTGATAAACAGTCAATCCAAGTAAGGGAGCATACTCTCATACCACGCAGTCTGGCCTTGACAGAGATTATCAACCTCAAATACAAAGACATGACTCCTGCAGCAGCATCTGTGGCTTATTGCATATTTGAAAGGGTCCTCGCAGGTAGATGAAATGTCCAACCAACCACAAGTCCAGAATATTCTTTCCAGCCTCCGACGTTGTGCCACACTGATCCGGAAACGGGTGTTGGTGGGAAGGGAAAAGCCGTGACAGCCGTAGCTTTGCAGATCATGCAAGTAAAGTTTTCATGCAACCTTGGCTACCTTAACTCGGCTTTAATTCAGTTCGTTTGTTTGTTCATTGCTGCGTTATCCAGGTACGTAAGGTAAGGCAAGGTATTTAACTAGACGTTTGGTGACAGGATGGATGATCTCCCTCTTGGCGGGGGCTTTCATGACGTCGGCGGATACGCACTCCCTTGACTGATCCAAATTGAACTCGAGGCGATGATGAAAGGTTACGTCTAGTGTTGATCGTACGAGTCGTGCTCTCTTATGCAGGAGGAATTAGACGAATTTGGTGAAGCTGTTGTGCTATTGGAAGCTTATTATCTTGCTCCATTTCTTATAAGAGGCTGGTCGCACTTGTGTGTTTTGAGGCCGGGAGGTTGGTATAACAGAAACAGCAACCAAATTTGGAAAGACCAACCGATATTCGTAACTGCCTTGGGGACTATATATCTTACTCAAATCCAACCTCTGCTAAGAATCCTTCTGATTCACACTCCTTCATCTCAGACATTAACACTCGCCAATCTAACCTTTCGTTCACACTATCATTATCAGCCGAGACAAGTCCCAACCGCTACAATGAAGTTCTTCACTCTCGTTGCAACTATTATTTCTGCCGTCAGCATCTCTGCTGTGCCCATATTGAATGAGCGGGCAGTCGGGGGTGTAAGTTGATTCTCTTCCCTACTATACAGGTTATCTCTTTTCTGTGGTATTGACATCTCATCTCCGCAGCTTTTGATATGTACTGGCGCCAACTCCACGGGCACATGCACCCACGAGGTATACGCACTTAACAAGTGCCATCAACTTTCTGCACCATTCCTTCGCAATGTCACGACTTTCGCACCCGACGGTGAACATTTCAACTGTTACCCCCGTACAACCGGCTGCAACGACACTTGTATGAGCCCCACGGGTTGCACAATAGGCCCGATCGATTTCAATTACGAATACAAGTTTAATTTCAGCCGTGTCGGCTGGCGCAAACTCTTCAACAGCTTTGACTGTTCACTAAAAAAGACCACAAGAAGCGAGAAGTTGTTTGGTTAGAAGAAGATTGTAAGGATTTTACAGGGAGAGCCAGCATGGGTACCTGGGTGGTGGTATAAATTCACGAACATGGTTGCATCTTCTTGGCCTTCTACCTTCTGTGTTGAAGCGATTGGGTACTTCTTTTTTTTTTGGTATTATATTGGCATGGTAATCTTGGTGACGGACTAATGGGCGACTCACCGGGCTACGGAGTATTTGGAGATAGCGATTCTAGCGATTGGTTTTAATCTTTGGCAGTTATTAGTCAGAGCATACAAGTTGAGACACTACGGATCAGCATGAGATAAGACATGAGACAATCAATCACTCATACCGTTTCGACCTCACAACAATCTACCGTGGTAAAAATGCATGCTGAGAAAATAATCTAGTCACAGAGTATACTGTTCTTATCTCGTTTCCGACCCGTGACACGGAGGAGGTTCCGTATTCCGGAGCCGGGAGATAATTCGGCATTCGTCATGTTGATGAGTGCATCCGGGTACCGATGGTGGGGTTGAGGTTACCCCAGACCTCGCCATTGACTGGAAGCTTCCCCTCCTTATGATCAAGCTCAGCTATTTCATAGCAACTTAACCATAAACTACTGGAATTTTTCCTCTTTCACTTCATCTTCTCTTTATTCTCGAAACTATTCTCAACTTTATACCCCCAATTGCTCCTGTCTAAGGTAACCCAAGCAACCCTCAGATAGAGTGACATCATGGCTTTCACTACAAATGCTACTATCAACAGCTTCGGCGGACGCTTCCTCAAGCTCTCTCACAAGTCTGCCGTCACCGGCACACCCATGAACGCAACTCTCTACCTCCCAGGCTCGGCATCGTCTTCTAAGCCAGCTCCTCTTCTCATCTACCTCTCTGGCCTCACATGCACACCCGACAACGTCACAGAGAAGGGTTTCCTTCACGCTCACGCCTCCAAGCTCGGTCTTGCTCTTCTCTACCCAGACACATCTCCCCGCGAGCTGGACCTGCCCGGCGAGCACGACTCATATGACTTTGGCAGCGGAGCGGGCTTCTACATCGATGCCAAGAAGGACCCTTACAGCAAGCACTACAAAATGGAGTCTTATATCACCAATGAGCTTCCCGACCTCATCTTCAAGGAGTTTAAGGAGGTTGACTCCTCGCGAGTTTCTATCTCTGGCCACTCTATGGGTGGACATGGTGCACTGACTCTGTTCCTCAAGAACCCCGGCAAGTACAAGAGTGTCAGCGCCTGGGCTCCCATCTCCAACCCTTCTCAGTGCCCCTGGGGTGACAAGGCCTTCAAGGGTTACTTGGGTGAGGATAAGGAGGAGTGGAAGAAACACGATGCCACTGAGCTCATCAAGAGCTGGAAGGGCAACTTCCCTGCCCTCATTGACGTCGTAAGTTCCAAGTCTCTCTCTCGTAGTTGTCAAATGCACCATACTGATAGACCAGGGCACCGGTGACAACTTCTACAAACAGGGCCAGCTTCTCCCTGAAAACCTCGAGAAGGCTGTCAAGGATGCTGGTATTGAGGGGTTGACTCTCCGCTACCAGGATGTAGGTATTTCTCGTTCCCTTCAAACGACAATTCTAACCAGTCTTTACCTTAGGGCTATGACCACTCTTACTTCTTCATCTCGACCTTCGGCGAAGACCACGTCAAGCACGCCGCCAAGGCTCTCGGACTCTTGTGACTACCACGCAGCGCGCTGTAAGAGGGTGAAACCAACAGTTCTTTGACAAAAGTCGGTTGGATGTATTTACGGCGTCATTCTGGGTAAACGAATCAGGGTATGTACTCAAGTTGTGTACATGAAATGCTCGAGTAGCAAATCTTCTCGTTGACGCTATGGTCTGCACGATAGCTGAAAAGAGGTCGTAACTCCACCGGCCAAGGAATCTAAAAGCAAGCTAGATAATATTACTATTCCGAATCGCATTGATTCTCGTATGTAATGTGCCATTGTATTCGTCCAATGTCTTTGAAAAACGCCGCCTGTATGAGTGCTGAAAGGTATATGATGCGAACCCAGACATGACACCTCCTGGAGAACCCGTCAAAGTTACTCCAAACCATAAATAAACTCCTACAATTGTAGCCCACCCACATGGAAACTCCAATTCGAACGTTCAGCTTACTATCCTCTCCATTTCAGCGCTTATACCTTCCTTTTCAAGCTTTGCTTGCATCTCAGCATCTACCTCTCGACGTAGCCGCATATAAGCTAGCTTCTCAAAGCGGCTGAGACTCCTCCACCAATGCTGTCCGGCTTCATGATCGGATATACGCTCCAAGAGATCTGCTGTTCTCAGACGGACTTCGCGGTCTTTGTGGAATAGCCCAAGAGCAAGGTAGAACAATCCAGCGTGCGACTCAGGGGCTACACTAAGCAGTAGGCAAATCTCATCGTACGTGTGGACATGTTTGGAGATGGTTAGATAGATGTCTCTGCTCTGCGCGGGGGTCAAGCGTTGCATTCGTAAACGGTCGTGAAGGTGGGCCAAGTCAAGACCCTTCAGGGGCCTGATGGTGTATATCTGTGCCAGATCCTGTGGAATGTCAGCTTTAGTCGTTCCTTGTTTTAGTGTGGTGTCTTACTTGGATGAAGCTGTAATAGCTTCGAGTGTTGCGCCATCCTTCGATTCTTGTCACATTGCCAGCAAGCTCCTTATGCTTAGCTGTATCATCCGCCCAGACATAACCATGCCCGTTGGCGCCCGGGGGCATCAAGTCCTGATCTTCACCTCCAATGTACAAGGCACTGGCTCCATAAACGCTTTCCTCGAATTTGGCTGCGATTTGAGTGAACTTGCCGACCCAGTCGCGCCACTTTGCTCGGATCACACGTTCGCCATGTCTCGCAGCAATGCTCCTTAGGACATCAGCCATGAAGGCATTATCGCCCGTATAGTCCTGGCTTGTGTTCGTAGTACCGCTTGCAATGGCTGCAAAAGCTGCATTCTGTTGCTGGAAGTACAGCAGACCCTCTGTCACAGGGGCAGGGTCGATCTTTGTACTGATCTTGACCCTTCCACTTGGTAAATCGCACAAGACGTCCCACCATTCGGGGTGAAGCTCAAATGTGGGATTCGTTACACCAGCGATAAAACCGGGTACGTTGAGCAGGTCGTCGATTTTGGTCAAGTCGGTGTAAGGAAAAGCATGTCGTGTAAACCCACGAAGTATACCACCCGATGCCAACGCACACGCGGCTAAGACAGCCTCTGCAACCTCGCCTGAGGGCATGTTGTGCCCTAGAAAGATGATTCTCTTTTGTGTCAAGAGCGCATTTGCCAGCACAACGATGGGGTGTGTATTGACTCCGTTCGTTGTGAGGTGAGGGTGCAGCGCAAATGGTTGAGGCGATTTCTGATGGGAATCTGAAAAGTTCTGTATGAGTTTGATGAGTGAAAAGTCACCGACGGTTTCAGGCATGACAGCAACAGGCACTTTGATAGGGATCGGTATGCCCTTGTACATGACTTTGCTCTCAAACTCATGTGTGTCGCGGGGAACAGAGTGAATCGACTGGCCGCCCTCGACATGGGCCTTTGTACCAGCTCTTGAGATACCAGTCAGTTTTGTCGGACTCCTTGTCGCATCCAATGACTGGTCTGCTGCCTCCTCGCGCTGGTCTTCGGCTATCCGCATTTGAATCATCTGTTCGAATTTCTCCACAAAGAGATCCCTGTTGTCACTTGCTTGTAATAAGTGGCGCTCGAGAAGACTGAGTTTAGGCATGAGAGACAAATCCATGGCGTTTACTGAATCGTATAGCATGGCCAATGTCTCTGGGACAGGTGCTTTGAAGTATTCTTCCAGAGCCAATAGTAACAGTGGCTATTGAAACGGTTAGCAAGTGCACGAGCACAAGAATCGTGGATCAAGGCTACTTGCCTTGTAGATATGCAAGAAGGGATGCCGCGTGCAGATGGCCATGGCCTTGACAATGGCCCCTCTCTTGACCGACTTGTCATGTTTGGTATTGACCAGATTAAGCACATAAATTAGGGGAGGGCCCTCTCCGCCCTCAGGTTCGCTATCAGTAGATTCGGTGTCGTCTTCATCATCGTCCTCCCATTCGTCCTCTGGTAGGTCATCTTCGTTTTCTTCATCCTCCTCGTCTATTATACCAGCTGCTCTATCACGTCTCTTTTTGCGCCTTTGCTTTCGATTTTCTTTTACTTTGCGCTCCTCATCCTCCTCTTCCTGACTTGTATCCTTGTGAAGAAAGAATATTGTCCAGTCCTGGTTGCGGGCGTGGGCTTGGTCGGGCAACATGAGCTCTGCCAGCATATTTTCGTCTCCAGTGATCGCAACCGGGTATTGATGCTCCATGACGGGACCTCGATCGATATCGAAAGATGCGACAAGGATGTATTCGACATGGTTTTCCGTGGAGCTTCGCGGGTATTGGGAGCGAAGCTTTCTCGATGGTCGTGCATGAGGGTTGATCCTTCGAGGAGCGGAAAGCGATGAATGCTGCGAGGACAGACCCGTCGAAGGCGTCTTTGACTGCGAATTGGGATCGGAAATGCGATCGATCTCTGGGCCAGGAGGAAGAGGTGACCTCGAGGGAGGCGGCGAGGCCTGTGACATTTGCGATTCGGGGCGCGAAGAGTGAAACGAAGCCAGGGAGGTTCTTCGGTTGGAGACTGAAGCATTGGAGAAATTGCTGAGGCTGTGTTTATGACCGTGACCGTGGTGGTTGTTTGCGCTGTTGCTGGTTGTTTTGGTCAAGAATGGCAACGTTGACTGGAACGAAGAAGCCATAATGGATGGAGGAGACGAGACGAGACAATGCAAGACAAGACAAGACAGGACAAGCTAAGACAGTGCCGAAGGCGGATTGAGGCCGGGGTTCCGAGACACGAAACACGAGTCCCTCACGATTTAGAACCCTCGTAGGTTCCGTATCGGGTGATGTTGCGCTGCGCTGCGCTGCGTTGCGGTTCGTTTTCGAGCTCGGGGGGTCCGAGAGGGTTGAGTGAGTGGAAGGATGCGGTGAATGCATGCAATGTAATGCAAGGCAGTGGGATCGACGCTCTGCTCTGCTTTGTTCCACTTTGGACGTTACAGTAGCTGAAGGAATAGGATTGGATTGAATTGAATTGAATTGAATTGAATTGAATTGACAGAATTAAACAATTCTCCTCGATCGAAAGCAGCTGTGATAGTATGTACAGCACCAGCCAGTACCACTTTGTTATCGAATATGTAACAGAACTAGAAACAGCTTTAAAGAGAGTGTTGCAACCGAGACATGTTCCCGCCACAAAGTACAAGAGGGCGTCAACTTGCACAAAGAGGCTTGACTTCCTTGTAGGTGGGGACAGATGGAAGTAGGTAAGGTATTCAGCAAGTCAATCACTCTCAATTATTTGACGAGAGATCAATTTGCTGTGGATTTGAGCAAAGTGTTGTTTTGAATCCAAGAGATCAGTACTGAACAAAGGGTTCTGCCCATTCTATCCACTAACTATGTCGGGTCCAGCCTTTCTCCCCCCCTCATTCCCATTTAATAGCTGCTAACCCCTGAAACTGAAGACGGTTGGTCAAGTTCAAGAGAAGCGCAGATACCTAGGTACAGTATGTTTTCGGCTGATCCCTCTAACTGAGTCTACTTCTGATCGCAATACCATCTCTATCAAGTTATTGGACCCTTACCATGCAATAGAAAATCTTCAAGCTCAAAAAGTGTCAGCAGAACACAACCCTCGTCCACTCAAAATGCTCCCCACTAAGAAAAAGGGTCGTCTCGTTCCCTTGCGTCCCCTGAATTGCAGCTCTCAGCTTGTGGTTGGAGCACACCCCCATGCTCGTTAGCGCCATGCGAGTGCCATGACTCTCCAATCTTGGCTTTCACATGTGGCTCAGCTCTCCGTGGCACACAGTTCGTGGCGTCTATCATGCATCTCCCTGGGAACCACTTTCATTGTTTACTTTGTATCACACCTCGTTAAGGCGCATTACAACCTCAATTCTTGCCCAATGACGACAACGGTTATCTATATCCATCCCACAGCCAATTGATCATTTTCACGATAGTGTTTCTATCTTAAATTTTCACTAATCTACCTCAAATTACCGCCTTTCTCTTCCTCGTCTTCTCATAAACCTGTTTATTGTCCATCTCCGCTCGCCGGACCCACGTTAAGCACAATGGTACTTCTTCCATGACGGAGAATCCCTGACAAGTGACGCCCGTCCCAGCTAACGCCGTTGTTTTCAGTCTGTGCCGGCAACATACAAGCCTTCTCCTCTGGGCTATGGCTCTTCACCTACTCGAAGCTCTCCATTTCGTCGCGCCGAGTCACCTGCATCGCCCTCTCCCCTAAGACACACTACACCTACTGGATCACCGACAAAGGCAGGACCTTTCGGCTCGACTTCGCGCTTTGCTAGACCAACAACTCCCACAAGCACACAACCCAGTTGGACACCAAAGGCCAAGACACCTGTTAGAGACGAGATGAACTCTTCGCCCTCGCGTATGTCTCCGGTGGCCGTGGCCCCAAGGACCCCAGTGTCAAAGTCGCTTGGCAATGGCAATGCGCTATCGCAACTGCAAGCAACCCAAGTCCGAACATTGCGAGATGCCTTCCAGATCATGGACCGAGATTGCGATGGTGTCGTAAACCGCGAGGACGTTACTGATATGCTCAACCAGCTGGGTAAGCACGGCGAGAATGATCAATGTGATAACACTAGCTAATCATTTCGACAGGCCTGCCTTCAAACCCAGCCGACGTATCCAAATTCTTTCCTCCATCAGCACCCCAGACAATCACTCTCGCGGTATTCCTCAACTCGCTTGCCGATGCACTTGCAGCACTTTCACCAAGCGCCGAGCTGTTGTCTGCCTTCTCTGCCTTCGACGACGATGACAGCGGCCAGGTCGACTTGGTCGAGCTGCGAAAAGCACTTCTTGATACAGCACCCGAGCCTGGCGAGAAGGCTCTAACTGCCAGTGAAGTTGATAAGATCATGAATGGTTTCACTGGGCGACGAGCTTTCAACCGCAATATGAACGCTCACCTTGGTGCCAAGAGAGGCGAGGTGTTCAAGTACCAGGAATTTGTTGGCTCTATCATGGGCTCCAATAACGGTTCGGATAACCAGCCTCATGATGATGATGGGGATGGTGATGTATATTTGTAAAGCATAACCTTCTCTGCAGTAGCAACCTCGTTCAGACGCAACTCGTCCAGTTCGAGGCAATTAGGTGTTGGTGCCGTCGAGGTCGAATCGCGTTTGCTCTGGTGAAGCTCCGAGGATGAGGAACGACATACCAGTGAAATGCCTTTAAATGTTAGTCTGGTTTCTAGCTAACTATTGCTCTCTTCAGGTAGGTTATCTAGCTTACCTGAGCCACAATGCAGCCGTCTGCCCATCCATCTCCCACGTCCTTCATGTTAGCTGTGGGGCACAGAGTTTGGCAGGGAGTCAGTGTAGCTATTCCGGGTTTACTTTAAGGTAACTTATGGCGGCTTTTGTAACGGAAAAGGGTGCTCGGCTGGATGGGTATGGTTTATGGTTGGGATAGCACTTGGTAACAACATAGGACATCGAATGAGAACACGATTAATTACTTAGTAGTGAGACTTCTTATCCCCAGAGTATAGCGTTGACTTTTGGCTTCATTCTTGAAAACAGTCAACGAGGACTCGGCTGGAGATTCTGGGGCACTCAGTAGAGCTCGGGCTTCCACAGTAGGACGTATTCCCTGAGCAACCAAACAGCGACTTGACAGTGTAGTTTCTCAACCATCTGAAATTCTACGCATACAGTTGAGAAGATATCCCTCCTGGGGGTTGTTGGTGATGGACACGATCGGGCATCGTCACCAGTTGAACAACAGCCCAGGAGTCTCATTGGAATTGAAATCTTGAACATCTTGCTTCACTTTCAAACAGTTTAGGGCTAGATAAACATGAAAAATATTGCTATGAACACAGGTCGCTTCGGGACATAGCCTTGCTATCTGCTTCGGCTACACTGTGAATTAGGAACAAGAAAGACGATGAGGATCTCGAAAATATCGTGAATATGTTGCTATGTATGTGAGTAGCCAATGCAAGAGCCAAAACAGAGTATCCCTAGATGTGCATTTGTGTCACCTCTTGAGTGACACGGCTTTGTATAGTATTTATGTCAGAGTCCTCGGCTACGCGGACATTTCCTGCCGAGTCAACACTGTCCGTCTTGAGACTTTGACTTTGTGTCATGTCAACGGCAGCAAACATTGATATTACTATCGTTGTGTAATGTTAGGCGTTTTCCGAAGTCGTACAACATCCCGCCAGGATGATTTGGTTGCACGTGGAAGAGTTGTGTTAATGATAGCTCAGTAGACATCTGGAGGTATCCAGCCATCCAGTCCGCGTAAAACAAATGTGTTGGACTGCCTGCCTGCCTGCCTAGGTAGCTTGCTGTACATATGTGCGTATAGAAAAATGCAGCCCTGGATCCATATCCGTGGACTGCAATGATTTGCAGCCAAGCGAAACAAGCCCCTCAAGGATGCAAGAGCAGGCAATCGACCCGCCACCTCCTCTTGAATGAGATGGAGACTGATGAGACTGCAGAAAAGTGACTGGCGTTGAGCGGTTTGGCGAGGACCAGGAAAGCCTTGTGAGAGCGCCTAAAAGCGACCTGTAAGAATCGAGGATGGCTGGAGAAACGTTGTCCAGGGTCCTCGGCCCCACTGAACCTTCTAGAATCTAGAATAGATGACGTTTGGATAAGCGCAAGTCCTCGATATTAGGTTAGTCATTTGCGGGCCGGGGCCTGGCCACGGACACTAAAACGATTAGTTGAGTTTACGCGGGGTGAGACGTTGACAGCTGCAAATTAATTGACGGACTATTTTGTCTATCTCTTTGTTTTTCGTTCTGTGCCTTGGTCTTGGGGTTGTGACATTCTGTCATTGATCGGTGATTGCGGAGCCTGTCATTTGGGCAATGCTGTAAAGACAAGTTTTGATGCTTGTGATGCTGTCATAGTCGGTAGTTTGAGATTGATGGACTACCTACTATTCCCAACCTCTTGTACGGACTAGCTTGGTTGGCTCAACCGTCGATGAGGACAACTCACTGCCTACTACTAGCATGCAGATTTAGACTCAGAACCCCTATCAATCATATTTTGTGTCAATTGAATTGTCATTCCACATGATCCTTGCTTAATTGGTTCCGGCCTGTGGCCCGTGATAATTCCAGACAGACAAGGTCCCTTCCGCGGTGGGGGTTGAAAGCGCGTGGCGACCAGGCATATTGAATGGATTGGATTGAATTGAATTGAATTGAAATCTGTCACTTTGACTGTCAATGTCACTGGGGAACGAAGTACAAGATACTCGCACAGCAGGCAAACATGACCTGTGTTGCCAAAGTCTCCGAGAACCGATGGAATGAAATGACAGTCCTACACTGACATTGACGTGATTCCGGCAGTACGATACACAATTTTATTCTCATTAGACTTATTCAGGCCAGACCAGGCTATGTCTCAGTGGTCAACCTAACTTAAACGCTTAGGCTCCCGTGGTGAGCCGGCAACTATGTGCATACAGTACCTATTTCTATCTAGACACCTGCAGAACCCAGCCTTTTTTTATTTTTTTGACATTTGGAGTGATCCGACAGGCTGAGGTTTGGAAAACGGGTTTACTGCACTAGGAAATCAGGCAGTTTGTGTCGATTTTGACACCTAGTCCTATCCATCCTAATTCGGGCTTTTGGCCTCTGTTGAGAGACAGAGAGAGCGGCTGATAAATCTGCTGGGCTGGGCTGGGCTGGGCTGGGCTCCATGGGATGGATTGACATGGCCGTTGTCGCTTGTCACTCGTCACTCGTCAGTGTCATAGCCCGGTTCGCTCATCTCATATTGACTGAAGAACTCAAACTAATTAAGTGAGTTAGCAGCTGAATGCTGGTTCAGGCTGTGCTCTGCGTATTGGTTCAACAAGGGTTCTTTTCCTTCATCATTACTTTCCTCTTCCCTGCCCCCGGATTGTTTTTTTCTTCTTCTCCTTCTCCTTCTTTCCTCTGGATCATCTTTTTGTCATTTGCTTGAGTTTTGTGACTCTTTTACTTCTGACTTGTCTCTGTATTCCTACCCATCTACCTCCCTCATCACTGCTCCGGTCCTCGTCCGCCCGTCTAGGTACCTAAGTGAGGTATTCGGCATTCCCACCACGCTTGACTTGACTCGACCCCTTTTAGGCTCAGAGCCGCACGACCGTTCCCGGAGCCACCAGTAATAACGTCCAGTCCTTAGTCCAGTCCAGTCCAGCCAGGAACTGGAAGTCGACCGGCCCCGAAAAAAAAAACTCGGTTTTTGCCTTAACGCCCGTTTAGGGCATCAACTCGGTCAAGTAAAGTATCCGGCATAAGCTTGTTACGGGGATTCTTGGGGATTCTTCCATCCCGTCTACCTAAAAGTATTAGTTTTCTATCTGTCTGAACCAAACTTTGTTTGGCTCAAATGAAGAACTTCTTTGGTAGCGGCAAGAAGCCAACGTCCTCCTCCACTCCTCCTCCTCCTCTTTCCTCTACTAGGAAATCCGCCACTTTCGAGGAGCGCGACCGTGATAGCCACGATCCGGCCGAACAACCTCCCGCATACTCGGAGCCTTCTTCTCCAGCGAGAGCAAAGTCGCCTTCAAAGTCTTCAAAGAGACTATCTCGGCCCGCTTCTTACGCCGCCGAGTCCACAAAATCTTCCTCCCGTTCTTCTAGACTGTCGAGGCAATCTACCGACCCGGGCCATTCTCACTCTCATTCCTCCTCTCGTCGGCACAAATACGAGCCCGATACACATCCGCTCAACCTCCCTCCCGAAGAACGAAAGCGATTATCCGCTCTCGCCGCTGCAATGAACGGTAACTCCATGGATGTCGACAGCGAGCCTGTTAATGGCGCTCGTTCAACTACTCCTCCCAACCCGAAAGCCCAGACCAACTTTTCCGTCCCTATTCCCAACGGCTCCAGTCATGATGACGGCGCCCCTCCGCCACCTCCTCACAAATCCAACCCTGGAAGCCCAACAATTACGCCTGAGGAAGATGCCGAAGCCTACAAGGCTGCCGGTAACCGATTCTTCAAGGAGAAGAACTACTACAAGGCTATCGAGCAGTACAGCAAAGGTATGCATCGCCACCTGCCATCAGGCTCTTCTTATTTCCAGGACTTTTCAGCCTGGCTGAATGTATCTCCAAATGCTGACATCTCATCGCAGCTGTCGACCTCTTCCCCTTCTCTTCTACTTATCTAGGCAACCGAGCTGCTGCTTATATGTCTAATGGCCAATATGAGCATGCTCTTGAAGACTGCTCCAGGGCTGCCGACTATGATCCTCATAATGCCAAGATTCTTCTGCGCTTGGCCCGTATCTATACTGCTATGGGCCGACCAGAGGAAGCCATGACAACCTTCAACCGCATTGACCCCCCACCATCTGCTAAGGACATGGCCCCTGCGAAGGAGATGTTGCATCATATTCAGTCTGCCCGTGATATTCTTGCACGTGGATCTGGATCTGGTATGTCCATGGTGCTTCATGCTCTTGACCTGGCTGAGCGCAGCCTGGGTCCCAGTGTTAGCAAGCCCCGCAAGTGGCAGCTCATGCGTGGAGAGGCTTATCTATTAATGGGACGGGAAAACTCATTGGGAGAAGCGCAAAATATTGCTATGAATCTCCTCCGAAACAACAGCCAAGACCCTGAGGCTCTTGTTCTCCGAGGACGTGTTCTCTATGGCCAGGGCGAGAACGATAAGGCTATCCAGTTCTTCCGTATGGCTATCAACTGTGATCCCGATTTCCGTGATGCCGTCAAGTGGCTCAGAATTGTCCAAAGACTTGACCGCATGAAGGAGGAGGGCAACACCGACTTCAAGGCAGGTCGTCTACAACAAGCCATCGAGAAGTATACCAATGCTCTGGAAATTGACCCTTCCAATAAGAGCATGAACTCGAAGCTGTTGCAGAACCGGGCACAATGCAAGATCAAGCTCAAGCAGTACGACGATGCCATCGCTGACTGTGAGCGGGCCATTAACCTCGACCCTGGTTACACAAAGGCCCGCAAGACCAAGGCCAATGCTTTGGGTGGTGCCGAGAGGTGGGAAGACGCCGTTAAGGAATGGAAGGCCATCCAGGAGCTTGATCCTGAGGATCGGACTATCGTGCGAGAGATCCGCAAGGCGGAGCTTGAGCTCAAGAAGGCTCAACGCAAGGACTACTATAAGATCGTTGGTGTCGAGAAGACCGCTACAGGTGACGAGATTAAGAAGGCCTATCGTAAGATGGCTGTGAAGCTCCACCCTGATAAGAACCCCGGCGATCCTCACGCCGAGGAGAAGTTCAAGGACTTGCAGGAGGCTTACGAGTGCTTGAGCGACCCTCAGTAAGTAATCTCTGAAAACTACCGACTAGATAAGTTACTAACACCACCTTAGGAAGCGTGCTGCTTACGACAACGGCGATGATCTTATGGATCCCAACGACATGTTCGGTGGCGGCGGCATGGGAGGAGGTATGGGCGGCATCGACCCGGAGATCCTCTTCAGCATGATGGGCCAGCAGGGTGGTTTCGGCGGCGGTGGCTTCCGATCTGCTGGAGGCTTCCCCGGCGGCGGTGGCGGCGGTGCCCACTTCAACTTTGGTGGTGCTGACCCCAGGCAGCGTGGAGGATTCCCCGGCGGTTTCAACTTTTCATGACCAGCCGGCGCGGATGATGACGATGACGACCTATGGGATAGTGAGGATGAGGATGCGGACTTCTATGACGAAGAAGACGAGGATGGGGATGGCGAAGAAGAGGAAAACCACGACTATGCAACCACCAGCGACGAGGACTTCCACCCACAGCCCCCCCGGAACAGTAAGCTCCGAGATGATCTTGAACAGCGCCACCAAGATGCCCATGGCCGGCTGGTCGATGCTGTACGACGATACAGCAAGTTCTTCATGGCGGCAGCGGTCTTGCTCCCTTGGCAAATGGTGATACTCATTTTGACGCTGGTTGGTTCAGCATATATATGCATGAAGCACATTCCACTCTTTGGCAGGAAAAAGCCGTTATCTTTGTGAACGGCTAGCACATACAATGGGCACTTTCCACTCATCCTATGCCACACAACATACCATTGGGGCGTTTATTTTAGGGATAGACATCAATGAATGCAGAGCAATGCTAGAGGTTAGCAAGTTGCTTGTTGTTAGGGTTTGAAGGCCTAGGATGGACGCGGACCCTTTAGATCGGTTCCTGGGGTGTTTTACGCATATAATGTCACATCTTGGCATAATAGATGGTTGTCCGCAAAAGTTCTGCTCATACCGCATATTTATGAAGATCTCAATGCTAATGATCCTTGCCATTGCGTGAGCTTGCTTGTCAATGTTGATATGATCTCGTAGCAGCTGTCGTCTGACAAATACTGAATCACGGCATTTAAGGCTGCTGACACCAGAAATAATGCATTAAGTTGCGCGGCATTACGCACGCTTAGGGTATCATAAAATCTGCGGTTCCACCGTAATTGCAACCGCTTGAAATAAACATGCTCGTGGCCTGAGAAACATGGTGAACATCATAGTCATCCAATTCTGCCAACCCCTCAAGCAGCAGACGACGAGGCATGGTTGGTAGCATTGCCATTCTGTTGCGGCTGCTCCCCATTTCTCCTCCCAGGTGGCACGCCTCCAGTGGCCTCGACGACCTGGGCCACATCATCGCGCAACTCAGGCATGGCCGACGTGATATTCTCCGCCAAGACGTCGCGAAAAGTTCCAAAGGCGTTGAGTTTGCCGCGCATAAGCTGGTTACCTCGACGCACGAGCTCGACGAATTCTCTAGTGTAAATATCTGGGTTGCGGCCGTGCTCGACATACTCGACAAGTTCTGGGGGCACTGAAGGTAGATTGTTTGGAGGAGAGGCGGAGGAGTGAACAGTGCGAAGGGAGTCGGAGAGTGTTTTGCTGTAAGTTTTTAGTTGGGGCTTCAAAAGGGGGAGTGAGAAGAGATTTTACATTTCGTTGATGAGAACTTCTCTACTGGACCGGCCGACAGAGTCGTAGGTTGAGACCTGTACCATTATTTGGTATAGATCTTGGATGATGTCCTTGAGCTGTTCTACGAGGGCGTTAACGCACGTTGACAATTCGAAATATCATGATACCTACGCTCAAGGGCATTGTGGTCTACGCGATCGACAGGCGCCATGATGAGGGTGTCGTGAGTACGAATTGGACGAGCCTTGACGGGTCAAAATATAATACTTGAATGCTTTGCGACGCTTTGTCTAAGGGAATCTAAGCTTCATGAGTAAAGTGTATGGCGGACTAATTACTACTCCGGATCCCTGCTGGGGGCGGCAAGTGGGGGATGGAAAGGTGGGGTTGACCAGGTGGGGTATCTTTCTTATCAGTGACATTCTTGTAACATCAAGCTTCGACTTAAACAACTGTCCCTCTTTATGAAGACCTTGGTTCTTCGTCTGTAGGACTACGGATAGAGACTCAGTGTATCTCAACCAGTTATTTCACTTCTCTACCATCCCTGCCTAGGCTAGGCCAACAAGTCAAGGGTAACCGCCTGAAATGTGACCAGCCATCCTTCGGTGATACAGTCTATCGGGATATTACTGAAAGTTATACTCGCGGATCCTCATTAAGCGGTGAGACTCATAGGAATGCCATCTTAGCCATACAAAGTATGTGATAGCTAGTTTGATATTGACTAAGTTATATGGTCTAATAAACTGCCACTCGGCAATCATGGCATAAAGGTCGACAAAGAATTGATCGAAAGCTGATGCTAAGAATACCCAGGGCTTCTTTTGTTCAGTAGATCTAACTTTGAAGCCAAGCGTGTGTGAATGATCGATCTTACTACACCAAACCTGCGGTAATGACCAGAGGTCAGTTGTCTACCAAAGCTAAGCTGCCATGGTCTACTTGCAAATATTAAGTATAAGTATGAGAAACACTTTAACTCCATTCGCTGTTCAATAGCCTGCAAGTTCCCGCATATCATTTCAGTCTCTCAAAGAGCGGCCGATTCTCACGGCCGGCATGCGGGCAAATTTGTCCAAGATGAGCATATCATCAATGAATGTGACATTTATTGACTTCAGTACCGTTTCTCAGGTTGGATAGACCTGAGAAATGACCCCTATCATCCTTTGTAGCTTGAATATGGCGCAAGCTGCATATACACGCCGTAGACACTTGCATGTTTGGACATGCTGACACTAATTCTAATGCCACTTGTTCATTTCATGACTTTGGGCAAGTCGACTGGATAAGCCTCTCCGTGAAATGTTTGCTTTATGGAGGGCAAAGGCCCCTGCCTTGCATAGATGTGACAATCGGGAATTTGGTAAAGTGCCTGCAGCTTGCCGTCGGGGAGGGCGCCGTCTGATCTGAGTGACGCATTTTCTTGAGTCGTTCTATTGGTAGAAGTTAATTAGCAACAGCATTTCTAGTCAACACAACCCAAGGCTCCGTATGCTTTGCTTTTCTTGTAAGACAAGTTCCATCAGTTATCACTTAAGGACATGGGTGACTGCAGACTCTAAAGCTGACATGAGTATGCAGGGTCTTTGTTCACTCAACGGCATGGCTCAGCCATTTCATGGAAGCCGGCAGTATGCTGTTTGGAGCATGATGGATAAATGATACCAGAGTCTCAAAGAATATCTTTGCTTTGGCTTGTTGGGTCCCTGGTATAAAGTAAATGGCATGCCCCTGAGTCTCTTGTCACTTCACACCAACTTGATGCTAAGCAATACCTAGTCTTGAATGATCTTGTAAGCATCAGCGCTATATCTTCATTGGCCATCCTAACTATCGAACGTTCATAGGCCCCAAGCCTCCTTTGGACACCACCATGTCTAAGTCTTCCGATAACACCCTGGACTCCAGAGCTGTGTTTACGCACAGTTATCGAGAAGGGCCCAAATGCATTGGGTGGGCCAAATCACAGGGCCGTCAATGCAATAGGACTATTGGTATGGCCAGGGTAAGGGAGCATGAGAGCCTGATGAAGAGGCTAAACAGTGTGCCCCTGGAGCAGCGGGCAGACCATCCACGCCTAGAAGAGGCTGTGAAACTCCTTCTGTGCCATCAACATAAGCACACTGATTTCGATAAGGAGCTGGAGGATGCTTCACAGAAGTTTCGAGATGCAGCGGAGGCGGCGAAGGAGGCGAAAGCGGCCCGAGTCAAGGTATGTGACTGTCCTGTTCACGTTATCGTGCTTGACTCTTGACATGAATCAGCTGGAGAAGCCCATTCCTCAGAAACTGCCCGGCATACTTCGGAAGCCAACCGTCCAATTCGTCACTCCTCTTCCGCTTCCTGTGGCTCGTCGAGGAGCCGAGTTGGCCGGGGGATCTGCAGCGAACTCAGAGGGACCTAGACGCCGGCTTCAAGCCAGCGACATCCCTTCTGAGCCTGAGTCCGAGTCCGAGTCCGAATCCGAGTCTGAGTCTGAGTCTAGCTCAGAATCGGATAGCGATGATGTCAAAGTTGTTGAGATCCATCCCCTGGAGGCCTGGGAGCGCTACAACTCCAAGTGGAAGACGATAGACAAATCTGGGCTGGAGGAGGCACTTGTAAGCAACGGACTATACCCCTGGTTCTATAGCATGACTAACGATACCTTCACCATAGCCTGTAGTATGGCAAGTGCCGTGGCCAGTGACTTCAGGCAAGCACTGGCATGTTCACAAAGAAGAGGTCGTCAGATTCTTCAATAATATTGCAGATGAGCATGACAAGGCCAGTTGCAGGGCCATATTCTTGCATGAACGCATGCGCTGGAGTTCTAGAAATGTCAAGGACACGTTTGGCCGAATGTTTTATCAAGGAACATGGAAGAAGTTAATAAGAATGATTTCTTCGGTTGCTAAGGAGTTCGAGGAGCAGTACTCGGAGTAGTTTGATAATGGCTTGATAGGTACTCTGTGGCAGTGGGGGTAGCATTGATGGGTTATGGGGGGTTCTGTTTATGTTTCTATTCTTTTCCATGGACGGGTATTACACAAAAATACAATTGCGTGCTAATTAGGGCGGGTGGCCCAGGTCTTCTCAGTGGGAGGATGCGTTTCCTCTCCCGCTGCTCAAGCGGGTTCCCGTCCCCTCGTCCTATTCCTACACCTACATCCGTGGCCTACCAACATGAGCAGTCTTTAAAACTTCTCAAATGTGCCATAATTTCCTAACCTTTTTATATTACATTTCTTGTCATTCTTTGCATACCTGATATCCTAGTTACTTGACCATACTCTCAAGATGTCGGGCCAGAACAGCACTTCTGAGAGTGATCCAACACTCGACGATACACTCGCGCAGGATGAAATGAAGATAACTGCTACTGCAGAAGGAAAGCAAGAAGAGATAAAGGGAAAAGGAGACGAAATGCCCACGCTCGACGATCTTGCAGCAAGATGCACCATGTTTACTGGGCTCACAGCTATGACCCCTTGCTTGACGGCTCAAGAGTCATTCTGCGAGCTACTCCGCTGGTGGTGAGTCACAATGATACTTAAGCCTAACCATGTCACTGAGGCTAATATATGACATCTTTTAGGAAAGACAAAATCATGGAGTCATCTGGCCTGCAGCTGACCAACTTTAACGTCACCATGAAAAAGCGTGGACACCGCTCCAATGTAAACATCCCCGCGGAGGTCGCTTTCACCGCGCAAGATGAATCTGGAAAGCCTCTTGGCTATGTCCACTTCATGAACAGCAGAGATGGCAAGGGCGGCATCGTTGCAGTCGCTGTACGAGACGTGGTTCCTATGCAGCCCCAGATGGTAGTCCCTGACTTCAAGCGACCCAAGGAAGCTCAAGATGTTCGATTCACCCACCGTTCAGAACTCGGCTTGGGAAGATCCGTCCTCAGTTTCTTAGGAGCCGGTACAAACCATGGTGTTATCTGCAGAACGGGGAGTTACAAATGGAAGTTCAACTTTGGCCCAGAAGGCCAGCTCATGGCCTTCATGACAGCCGTAGACAAAGACAAAGCCGCCAAGGAGATTCGACTATCGACAGTCCCACACGGCAGTCAATATGTCCCTTTTCAGCCTCATCCGGAGAGCGATACTGTTTTCATCATCGGAGCTGATAGGCAGTCACCGGGGAGATGCGGGCGAGGGAAGTACATATACCGTTCCAAGGTCACCCCCAGAGAGTTCAACATCTGGTGCGAAGTCGCCTTATTTCTACAGGACATCAAGAACGACGATATCATCAAGACCGATATGGGCGACCTAATCCTCGATTCCAAATATCGTGGCAAAATCTACCTCAAAGGCTTTCTCCTGAGTGACACGACCCGCAGGGGCTATGCCAGCTTGTCGAAGAAGCCGCTCAGATTCGGGTACAACATCCTCCACGGAACTCCAGATGAGGGTATGAAGCACATGAGTTCGCTTGAGGAAGAGTGTCGAGCTATCATGTCCATCTAGGATCTGGCTTTGAAGCAGAGACCGAATCTTGTAGGACACCTCAGCAACATGCTCGACGACTGGTACGGGGGAGATGTTGAGCTGGCCACGAAGTTCATCAAGAAGGACACCATCTTTCTTCTCGGAGATCATCTGTTTCTTGATCGCTCAAAGTGGTACTATCCTACTGGCTCAAGACCGGTATGTCATGGAATGCGAAGGCTTTCGACTTGGTATGTGCTTGCTAACAATCTTTGAATAGGACCCCGAATGCTTGAAGACTCTCTCGAACTTTGGTCGACAGGCAGTAGAACTGCGAGACTCGTACTATTCCATGCTGACGCCCTACGAAACAGTCAATCGAAAGTTATACGAGCACATTCCTCGAGTACTCAACGCAGAGCCGGTTTCTATACCAGACACACTATTTGCCGCAGTCGTTGACAAAGCTCTTCGGTCCTGTCTGTCTGCATGCAAGCATACAGAAACTCTCCGCGTCATGTTTTTCGACGCACGACATGTTCCTCATTGGACTGTTTTAGTTGATGGGAATGTCGTCAGAGTACCCAACATGTGGCTCGATCAGGAAAATTTGGGGCTGATTCACGACATTCTGGGTGGTGATGAGTTACCCGAGGATTTGATGTCCTCAGTTACGAGCGCCGTGTTTCATCTCGTTCTCAAGCAGGTCCCCATTGACAAGGAATCCTTTGACCGACACAAGGCTGTTGTGATGCAGAGGTTCCTGGGCTATGCCAGGGAGGAGCTGAACTCCAAGATGCTCAATCTAAGCTTTGAGCCTGGTTCAGGGGCTAATTTAGCAAATGTCTCTTGGGAGACTACATTTTCTTCCAAGAATGTCTGGAACTATCATGTCCAGTTGCATCAGACAGAAACATGTCGACATCACCAGAACGCTGTTCTCGTTCGAGATAGTTAGTCAAATTCCTTCCCTTCACTGGCAAAACAAAAACTAACAGATCTATAGTCATGCCCACAACCCTGACCTGCATCAACGACACATGCCACATCCAGAGAGTATTCCGCACCCAGGATTTCCGACAATACTGCATCAAGGATTGCCTTTTGGGGAAAGAGTACTTTGGCATCGTCTACAATCCCGATGAATTCCTTTCCATCCCCCTCGTCACAAGTACTTTCACGGTACCAATGGACGTGAGCACCGCCGATGACTATGATGTTGAGATGGTACTGGAGGACATCGAAGATCTACAAAACCGACTATCTTCTTGAACACCACCAGTTGCCCACTTCTATCTACACTAGAGATTTCTTCGTTACCGCGGATACACAAGACCTTCGGGTTTATATATACTCCAGGCTAGAGAAGCAAAACAATTGGGACGTAGAACGAAAAAGAAGAAAGAAGAAGAAAAGAGTTAGGTAAGTTCAGTGTTACTCAGGAGGGGGGTGTCAACTAATTCTTTCTAGTACATTGGCTTAGGGTTGTGGCTCCTCTTGCTCTCTGGGGCGAGGTTATTTGGACCTCAGACATGGACAGGCGTGGGCAGAGCTTTGATGAGACTAGGGAGGTTAGGTGATGGCCACGGCACAGACAAAGGGGGGGTATTTCTAGAAGATCTTCGTTGGATCTTGGCAAGAAAGATCAAGGTGGGAGGTTCATTTGTTCTCACATGCGCCCGGAGCATCTTCCAAATGTCCATTAATAGAACATAGAGGCGCCAAGCCTCAATGCCTTTCCTGCCTTTCGATTTATAGTACGAGTTGTCAAACCAAGATTTTCGGCTGAACCTAATCGTCATTAAGTCTAAGCGTATACTTTAAGCCATTGTCGTATTCAGCAGTGATCGCCATGAATAGTCACAGTCAGGTGTCACAAGGAAGCATTAGAGAAGGCATAGATAGATACTCCAACGACACGTCTCCAGATTAACTACATATCCTATCCTAACTGAAACTATCTCGTACCCTCCCATATACCATCATATAAGCCAAGAAATTAATATATACATTAGAAGTGAAGATAAGAAACAACAAACCACCCTCTTCCGCGACATTAAATACCCCAAAAATAATCATCCTCCCAATTCTACCTCGCCATGTCCTGCAAAGGAGTGTATGTATGCGATTCCAACGGCTCGCCATGAATTAAATAGTCTGTGCTCTGCTGCCAGGGACAACCAATTTTTACGACAAGTAAAGGGGTAGAAAAGAATAAAACAAGAACCAATCCGGCGGCGCTATTGGGCTTCGAGTTAAATGACTCATGCTTTTTAGATGAGAGCGACGGCACCGAGGATACCAGCCATAAAGGCAAAGACGGGAGCCTTGTTGGCGGCGGCAGCGCCAGTAGCAACGGGTTCAGGGGCAATGGTGGGAGTGGCAGGGACGGTAACCTCAGGCTGGGTGACGACCTCGGTCTCGGGAGCCTGGACAGTGGTGGGCTGGGGAGCGACAGTCTCGTAGATGGTACCGCCACCGACGGTGTGGTAAACCTTGGAGTACTGAGTGACGACCTCGCCCTTGCCGATGGTCTTGACGATGGTCTCGACGGCGGGCACAGTGGTGGCAACCTTTTCGACGATGACGGAAGTGGAAGTGTAAACGTTGGTGATAACCTCACCTTCAACGGTCTTGGTGATGGTGACGGGATAAACCTCGTACTTGGTGTGGTAGACAACATCTGTCTCGTGCTTGGTAACATCGGGCTGCTTGACCTGGTCGTAGACGGTGGAGTGGACCTTCTCAACAACATACTCGGTAGAGGTATAGACCTTGGTGATGACCTCGCCGGCAATAGTGTTGGTGACGGTGACAGGGTAGACATTGGTCTTGGTGACGTAGACAACATCGGTCTCGTACTTGGTCACATCAGGCTGCTTCACTTGCTCATACTCGGTTGTAGCAACCTTCTCCTCAATGACCTTGGTGGTGGTGTAAGTCTCGCAGACGACCTCACCAGCAATGGTCTTGGTGACAGTGACAGGGTAGACCTTTGTCTTATGAACGTATTCGACATCAGTAGCATACTTAGTAACATCGGGTTGCTTGACGTGCTCGTAGTCAGTGGACTTGACGACCTCCTCGATGATGCTGGTGGTTGTGTATGTCTGAGTGACTACCTCACCGGCGATGGTCTTGGTGACTGTCACAGGGCAGACGGTAGTTCGTGTCTTGTAAACAACATCGGTCTCATGCTTGGTCACATCGGGCTGCTTGACGTGCTCATAGTCGGTAGACTTGACAATGTCGTAGATGATGCTAGTGGTCGTGTAGACCTCGGTAATAACCTCTCCGGCAACGGTCTTGGTCTGGGTCACAGGGCACACTGTTGTTCTGGTAACGTAGTCAACATCAGTGTAGTGCTTGGTGACATCAGGCTCCTTGACTGTTACATCGACAGTCTTGGTCTCAGCAACAACGAGTGTTGAGGTTGTGAGCTTAGTCTCGCAGTAGGTGCTGTATATTGTTAGCATGCCGTAGTCTCTTGGTAGGCTCTGAAAAACTCACGTTCCCTCCTTGTAATGAGTATAGGTGACAGGGCAGACGGTTGTAGTGGTGTAGGTCACAGCGACCTCCTTAACCTCATGCTCGTAGTGGCCCTTCTTTTCGTATCCTTCGTCTTGTCCGTACTCGTTCTCTCCAGTCTCGTAGTCTTTTCCGCTCTCAGAGTCTGGGCTCTCGTACTCGTCTCCTCCCCGCCGGATGTTGTTAGCCAGGGCCGAGGTGGCCAAGACCAGAAGAGCAGCACCGAACTTCATGATGAAGAAGGTTGAGAGGATTTGTGATTTCAACGAAGGTGTTATAAATCGAGTGCAAGCTATGAGCAAGCGATGGTGATTTGGTTGAGCGAAGGTAGAAGTAACCTGAACGAGGTGGCTACTTGTGTATACACAAATCCAATCAAGGCTGATCGAGAAGTGAGAGAGGCTGAGATGGATGGAAGAGATGGAAGGAAAACCTGAGAAGGTTGCAGACTTATATCTGTAACTTGTCGAACCAGAACCTACCTCAGATGAGAGAGGTTGGCCGAGTTGGCCTTGACAACCTCCAAACTTTCCAGGTCAAGTCACCCAAGAGACTTCACTTCTCAAACTCCACCCTTGGTTGCATTAGTCTGACTTTACCTGCGAGGGGACGATAATCCTCATGAGGGAGGGGTGCGAATATTGGCAAGATGTGATACGGGCATCGTGAGTCCAACCATCGTCGGAGGGGTCAGAGGATGTGGCTGGAGCTCACTGGAGCAACCGTGATGCAGGAGGGATGCAGTCAAGAGGGCTAGCTGGCTAGCAATCGGCTGGGAAGGGCAATGGGTTTCCTACAGCGGGAGCCTGGGTCGACGGTGAACCAAGACGTGATGTCAATATCATGCACGGAGGTCAGCGATACTGTGTTGGTTAATGGCCAAGACAATTGGGTGCTCCTTTGCGTAAGGTTTCGAAAGCTCCCCCTAGCTAGGCAGATCCGCAACAACAGGGCCGAAATGTCGGCCTCCCTCCAAGCTCAACAAAAGATCCTGCCCTTCTCAGTGGATGAGGCTACCAGGTTGTCAGGTTGTGTAAGACCAGGCCGTACTGACCCGCTTGATTTGACCATTCACTTAATCAATTGATCACTGGATCAGCCTGCATTCAGTCTGGGGAACCTAGTAAGACGGGAGACGGCATGAGCAGCTAGAATGAGACCTGAACACGAGGGAACCTGCGATATCTCTGTGCAAAAGAAAGCAAATGGTGGGAATGGGGACTGCATCTCAACGGAACTAAGCAGCACTGTGGCCTATAGCGGCGGGAAGGACAGGCTGGGTCAGAGGAGAGAAACTCGTGTAAACAAAAGAGGCGGAAACAATGCAACTCGGGCTGGATGACAGCATCAGCCAGCGTCGACGATGCAGGTTGAGTCAAACTTATTCTGCCAATATGCACCTAGCAAAGTATACAGTAACGGAAGCTGCACTATATCAAATCACGGTATGAGCGGTTTGCCGTCGATGCAAACTGCAGGACCGGTCACTCCGTTGAAGTTTGGTGCTGTACGCAAAGAATCGGCATCTTGGATGTTTAGTGCCCAGCAGCAGCCAACAAACTCTGGACCTCTTGGAGCTAGACAGTCCAGGAACCCAGCATCGCTACGTGGACGGGAGACTTGGCGCCATGTCAGTCATGACACAACAAAGACGCAGAAACCTGCTTGTCGTGATAGCAAAAGAGCATGAGTAAGGTGGTTGTGGTTAGCATTGTAACCATAGAGATAACTGTAAAGTTAAGGTAGGGTGAGCAGAGGCAGCATGTAAGGTCAGCAAGCCTCGTGAGGAGAGTTTTCGCTTAACAAGCAGAGACGCCTTGCTTGAGACGGCTAGTGAGGATCGTCCAGCCCATGTATGTATATGTCGCCAATCGACGATTTGCTCGTGATAGTGAAGCCAAAGAAGTGCCTTGGTTTCGGGGGAGTGGAGCATCTTTGTTGGAGCCTCCGGGGATTTGTTAGTGAGTATTCCCGTTGTAACTATGGCATTGTTCGATTGTGAATGCCCAGGCAGACTTGGCAGCCGGATCAATGGGCCGAGAAAAGAGGCGGTCGGGATAAAGAAATGGCTTGGTTTCCTGTGCCATCCTTTCCGACATGGGAATTGTCGAGCGGAGTGGCGAGAGAACCTTAAGCACACCGGCCATCATAACCGCGCTGATATAAGCCACATGTGATTGCTCTGGCACATGGCTGTTGTGTTAATCGAAGCTCCCGGAGGTCGGGAGGTAGATTCGATAAACAAGTCCATGGCTGGAGATTGATTGAAAGGCTAGCTAGAAGCTCGCGATACACCACTTGAAGAAAAGAGAACTGGCGGGGGGGCTTTGAAACTGGTCTTCGCGATGGCCGGGTTCTACGGACAGCCATGTGGTTCAGAGGTCGGACAGCGAGGACATCGAATGCGGGCGCCTTTTGCAAGCGAAGCACAGCATTTTCGTCGATTACTGGCCATTACGAGATAGAACGGCGGGTCGGAACCAATGGACATGTCAGGTCTGACAGAGAACGGAGGATTAGCCAAGGACAAGCACGAGCAGCCAGTTTGATAGCACAGCATGAAAGAATGCACTCAAGAACTGCAGCCACCACGCCTTGTGCTTGTGAAAGCCTGTTTCGTTCTCTTACCTGGCCTGGTGCCCACTGCCAGACCAGATGCATGAGGCAGGGAGTGAGAAGAGCTGCTGGCCATTGAATCGGTGGTTTCTTCCCTGGATGAATCGCTTAATCCAGGTCAACAACAA